TGCCAGGCAAACTCACCACTACACTAATAACACAAAACTGGGGCAATCTTTGAGGTTTTCAAACTTTGTTCGGACCCATAGATGGATGAACTAAACATCGGTCACCCTTCTTAAGAGGACATAACTACATTTTGAATTCTGTGTGCCCCATAACTATTTATGACTAGAGCGCATAAAAAAACAATATCAGGACATTTTTAGCTCAGATGGTGTGTTGATAAGAATGGATCTTTGGGATTTTCAAACTTTGTTCAGACCCATAGATGGATGAACCTAGACCGGTCCCTCCCTTCTTAAGAATACCCAAGAGCGGTAAAGCGGCCTTTACTAGTTCTAACAGCAAACCTACAGTTGAAGTCGGAAGTTTACATACACTTAGGTTGGAGTCATTAAAACTTGTTTTTCAACCACTCCACAAAGTTCTTGTTAACAAACTATAGTTTTGGCAAGTCGGTTAGGACATCTACTTTGTGCATGACACAAGTAATTTTTCCAACAATTGTTTACAGACAGATTATTTCACTTATAATTCACTGTATCACAATTCCAGTGGGTCAGAAGTTTACATACACTAAGTTGACTGTGCCTTTAGACAGCTTGGAAAATTCCAGAAAATGATGTCATGGCTTTAGAAGCTTCTGATAGGCTAATTGACATCATTTGAGTCAATTGGAGGTGTACCTGTGGATGTATTTCAAGGCCTACCTTCAAACTCAGTGCCTCTTTGCTTGACATCATGGGAAAATGAAAAGAAATCAGTCAAAACCTCAGAAAAGAAATTGTAGACCTCCACAAGTCTGGTTCATCCTTGGGAGCAATTTCCAAACGCCTGAAGGTACCACGTTCATCTGTACAAACAATAGTACGCAAGTATAAACACCATGGGACCACGCAGCCGTCATACCGCTCAGGAAGGAGATGCGTTCTGTCTCCTAGAGATGAACGTACTTTAGTGTGAAAAGTGCAAATCAATCCCAGAACAACAGCAAAGAACCTTGTGAAGATGCTGGAGGAAACAGGTGCAAAAGTATCTATATCCACAGTAAAACGAGTCCTATATCAACATAACCTGAAAGGCCGCTCAGCAAGGAAGAAGCCACTGCTCCAAAACCGCCATAAAAAAGCCAGACTACATTTGCAATACGATTTGCAACTGCACATGGGGACAAATATCGTACTTTTTGGAGAAATGTCTACTGGTCTGATGAAACAAAAATAGAACTGTTTGGCCATAATGACCATCATTATGTTTGGAGGAAAAAGGGGGTTTCTTGCAAGCTGAAGAACACCCTCCCAACCGTGAAGCACGGGGGTGGCAGCATCATGCTGTGGGGGTGCTTTGCAGCAGGAGGGACTGGTGCACTTCACAAAATAGATGGCATCATGAGGAAGGAAAGTTATGTGGATATATTGATGCAACATCTCAAGACATCAGTCAGGAAGTTAAAGCTTGGTCGCAAATGGGTCTTCCAAATGAACAATGACCCCAAGCATACTTCCAAAGTTGTGGCAAAATGGCTTAAGGACAACAAAGTCAAGGTATTGGAGTGGCCATCACAAAGCCCTGGCCTCAATCCTACAGAACATTTGTGGGCAGAACTGAAAAAGCATGTACGAGCAAGGAGGCCTACAAACCTGACTCAGTTATACCAGCTCTGTCAGGAGGAATGGGCCAAAATCCACCCAACTTATTGTGGGAAGCTTGTGGAAGGCTACCCGAAACGTTTGACACAAGTTAAACAATTTAAAGGCAATGCTACCAAATACTAATTGAGTGTATGTAAACTTCTGACCCACTGGGAATATGATGAAAGAAATAAAAGCTTAAATAAATCATTCTATTCTGACATTTCACATTCTTAAAATAAAGTGGTGATCCTAACTGACCTAAGACTGGGAATTTTTACTAGGATGAAGTGTCAGGAATTGTGAAAAACTGAGTTTAAATGTATTTGGCTAAGGTGTATGTAAACTTCCGACTTCAACTGTATAAGCTTGCTGCCAGCTCTTAGCAAACTGTTGGAAATAATTGTGTTTGACCAAATAAAATGCTATTTCTCTGTAAACAAATTAAACAACAGACGTTCAGCATGCTTATAGAGAAGGGCACATGTACTGCACTGACACAATTGACTGATGATTGGTTGAAAGAAATTGATAAGAAGAAGATTGTGGGAGCTGTACTGTTACATTTCAGTGCAGCCTTTGATATTATTGACCATAACCTGTTGTTGAAAAAACGTATGTGTTATGGCTTTTCAACCTCTGCCATCTTGTGGATTCAGAGTTATCTATCTAATAGAACTCAAAGGGTTTTCTTTAAATGGAAGCTTCTCTAATGTCAAACATGTAAAGTGTGGTGTACCGCAGGGCAGCTCTCTAGGCCCTCTACACTTTTCTGTTTTTACCAATGACCTGCCACTGGCATTAAACAAAACGTGTGTCCATGTACGCTGATGATTCAACCATATACGCATCAGCAACCAAAGTTAATAAAGTCACAGAAACCCTAACCAAAGAGTTGCAGTCTGTTTTGGAATGGGTGGCCAGTAATAAACTGGTCCTTAACATCTCTGAAACTAAGAGCATTGTATTTGGTACAAATCATTCCCTAAGTTCTAGACCTCAGCTGAATCTGGTAATGAATGGTCTGGCTGTTGAACAAGTTGAGGAGACTAAATTACATGGCGTTACCTTAGATTGTAAACTGTCATGGTCAAAACATATAGATTCAATGGTTGTAAAGATGGGGAGAGGTCTGTCCGTAATAAAGAGATGCTCTGCTTTTTTGACACCACATTCCAAAAAGCAAGTCCTGCAGGCTCTAGTTTTGTCTTATCTTGATTATTGTCCAGTTAAGTGGTCGAGTGCTGACAGGAAAGACCTAGTTAAGCTGCAGCTGGCCCAGAACAGAGCGGCACATCTTGCTCTTCTTTGTAATCAGAGGGCTGATATAAATACTATGCACGCCAGTCTCTCTTGGCTAAGAGTTGAGGAGAGACTGACTGCATCACTTCTTCTTTTTATAAGAAATATGAATGTGTTGAAAATCCCAAATTGTTTGCATAGTCAATTTACACAGAGCTCTGACACACACACTTACCCCACCAGACATGCCACCAGGGGTCTTTTCACAGTACCCAAATCCAGAACAAATTCAATAAAGCGTATAGTATTATATAGAGCCATTATTGCATGGAACTCTGTTCCATCTCATATTGCTCAAATGAACAGCAAACCTGATTTCACAAAACAGATAAAGCAACACCTCACGGCACAACGCCTCGCCCCTATTTGACCTAGATAGTTTGTGTGTATGCATTGGTATTGATATCTAGGCAACGTGTGCCTTTGTTTTTTTTATTGATGTAGTTCTGCCCTTGAGCTGTTCTTGACATAATACAGAACATTAATAGACATGTTTCATGTGGACCCCAGGAAGAGTAGCTGCTGCTTTTGCAACAGCTAACGGGAATGCTAAAAAACAAAAAAACTAATACATAGCTAATTTTAGAAGCCAGCTATTTTTAAACCATGTCTATTTATATGACCAAAACCCCTGCTTAAAGAAACAATATCTGGACATTTTGGGAAGCTAGTGAGTTTATAAGGATGTCATCTGATTTTGATTGGAATGAATGTTGAATGCCCAGCATAGAGCTCAACTGATAGGAATGAGAAAATAAGAGTATATAAAAGGACTAACAATATTACATGTTGTGTGATCGTAAAAACTACTCAAGTGACCCACTAGAGTTCAAATTTTAAGTCTGAGCCCTTCACATGCCCACGACCTTCAGGCCCTACCCTACCCAGGCCCGATTGCTTCTGCTACATTTAAGGCCCGGCCCAGCCCGAAATAACAGAAATAACTTCCTCCGTTAGTAAAATCCATTGGGCACTCCTCTCTGTCTGTCACTCGCTCCTGTGCGCTGCTTGCTCTGCATGCGCTCTGCTCATGGTGGGTATGGGTCTGTGAGTATCCATAGCAACGGCTCTGTTTGGGCTGCGCTGCTCAATAACGAGACATGAGAGAGCAGTTAGCTAGCTACTTTTAGTCGCTTTACATTTATTTTTGTGAAAGAATCTCTCCTGTCTAACCCAATGTATAATGTCGAGCCCCATCGGGCTCGGGTCGGGTAGCAGAGTTCTAGTCCAAATCCGAGTCTCTAATGAACCACAAGAATGTTAGCCAGCTGAGCTAAAGCCTTTTAGCTTGGGGAGCTAAAAGGATTTGGGATCTAGCAAGTCTTCAGGTCTCAGGCAAGGTTACTACTTGTCAAGCAAGCGTGGTTACTTGAGCTGAGAATATCAAATGAATAGAGTATGTGTTTCACTGAAATAATAATCCATCAACGCAATCCATGTATTTGTATTAGTAGAAATATTTTATTTTGTTGTTTATTTTGCAAACCCTTTATTCAGTCTGTATTTTACAAAATGTGCAGAATGTATTACATTTATATATTACCACAGTATTATAAGTGTGGTAAGTATATATGTACATTAGACAGACAACCATGGCATCATTTGGCAATCAAAATAAGCTCTATTTCACAAATATCTCACATTATATGAATTCATAGTTACATGAATTAACTATACAAAAAAATACTGACAATTAACCTTATGTAGTGTTAGATACATAATCATATCAATAAGCTGGCATCAAATCTATTGAAATGTGTTAACCAATGTACTTGAATATAATCTCCTCCTTAGAGTGTTCCCGTCATAGGCACTGATTCTAACAATTACCACAAACATTATTGATTATCATTCTTTCCATATTTAGTGGAAGACAGTGGTTTATAATTGCATTGCCTCCATAGGTCATTCATTTCATAGACAAAAAAGATCTGATAACACAAAGTTGATATTTCAAAGTGAGGAGAAGGAGATCCATCTAATCTGAAGGCTTCTTCTTGTAGTCTTCTGGGCTGATGAACCTGGGTGATGGAACCGGGAAACCGAGGACTCTAGAACCGCGATCTACAACCCTACAGCTTGGGTCGAAGGGAACCCACCACAGGCTTGTCTGAGGTAAACTCTGCCCACCAGGAAGGGCGCTCTAGAACCTTGTTCCCCTGCATCACCGTGGACCACATGTTCTTATAGAGCTAGAACACAGGAGAACAAAACCATCAAGAATTGATAGGACAAAGTGTATTGTGTGACTATGACAAGATTTCAAATTGATGATTTATTCTTTTTTAGTAACATGCTGGAATCCTAGTGGTGGTTTGCTGTGCGTAATTGGGGCAAGTAACTTGAAGAACTGTTGGCATTAACAGCAAAATCATAAAGGTCAAAATCAACTAATCTTAATTGTCATGCATTGCTCATGGACAAATAATGGCTTTCATAGGGAAGTGATGGAGAATGTCAGACTTTTGCCATAACCTATTGCTAAACCGCTCGCCCACACCACGCCATACACGTGGTCTGCAGTTGTGAGGGCGGTTGGACGTACTGCCAAATTCTCTAAAACGACGTTGGAGGCGGCTTATGGTAGAGAAATGAACATTAATTTATCTGGCAACAGCTCTGGTGGACATTCCTGCAGTCAGCTTGCCAATTGCACAATCCCTCAAAACTTGAGACATCTGTGGCATTGTGTTTTGTGATAAAACTGCACATTTTAGAGTGGCCTTTTATTGTCCCCAGCACAAGGTGCATCTGTGTAATGATCATGCTATTTAATCAGCTTCTTGATATGCCACACCTGTCAGGTGGATGGATTATCTTGGCAAGGATACATGCTCCCTAACAGGAATGTAAACATTTTGTGCACATAATTTGAGAGAAATAAGCTTTTTGTGCATATGGAAAATGTTGGGGATCTTTTATTTCAGCTCATGAAACATGGGACCAACACTTTACATGTTGCGTTTATATTTTTGTTTAGTGTATACAACACAGGAGTGAGAAGAAGCATTAAGTCTTTTATCTGATTTCTATGATTTACTGACCTCAACAGGGGGTTAGAGACAGACCACACACACACACACTAATGATTACAATATGTTATGATATGTTTATAATTTATATTGTTATAAGGCCTTTATGGCAAGTCAAGTATCCAGTGCTCATGGGTATTGTTATTATCACAAATCATTATGGTCCATTTGTTTAGTATATGCAAGGTACATTTGACCCCTATCTTCTAGCTATAGACATACATATGGTACTGTATATCATTGTCTATTCCCCTCAATGCTTCCAACCCCATTCTATAAGAATTTCTAGGAAGTTCTGGAATTCCCTGTGCTTCTGGGCTCAATTTCCAGCACTGTGTTGCCTCGGCAACACCTCAGGCAGGGTGTTGATTGGACAATGCATGGCTTATGTTATTGTAATGGTCCAGTCACTCACACCATGACTGCATCCCACATGGCACCCTATTCCCTATATAGTGCACTGGGCTCTGGAAATAATATTGCACTATAAAGGGAATAGGGTGCCATTTGGGATGCAGACACTATCTCACTGACCTCACCGGTATAGCATTAGTTAGTACTGCTTGGCCCACACTTGATATGGGTTTGGGTGGGTGTTGTCGTGGTGATCTACATCACTCGACATTTGTTATGAGTCTCTGGATCATGTTAAGCTAAATGTCAATGTAATTAAAAAAGAATGTGTTTCTACCTAATATACAGACAACTAAATACACTACATGACCAAAAGTATGTGGACACCTGTTTGTCGAACAGCTCATTCCAAAATCATGGTCCCCCCTTTGCTGCTATAACAGCCTCCATTCTTCTGGGAAGGCTTTCCACTAGATGTTGGAACATTGCTGTGGGGACTTGCTTCCATTCAGCCACAAGAGCTTTAGTGAGGTCGGCACTGATGTTGGGCGATTAGGCCTGGCTCGCAGTCAGCGTTCCAATTCATCCCAAAGGTGTTCGATAGGGTTGAGTTCAGGGCTCTGTGCAGGCCAGTGAAGTTCTTCCACACCGATCTCGACAAACCATTTCTGTATGGACCTCACTTTGTGCACGAGGGCATTGCATGCTGAAACAGAAAAGGGCCTTTCCCAAAATGTTGCCACAAAGTTGGAAGCACAGAATCGTCTAGAATGTCATTGTATGCTGTAGCGTTAAGATTTCCCTTCAGTGGAACTAAGGGGCCTAGCCCGAACCATGAAAAATAGCCTCAGACCATTATTCCTCCTCCACCAAACTTTAACAATTGGCACTATGCATTGGGGCAGGTAGAGTTCTCTTGGCATCCGCCAAACCCAGATTTTTCCGTCGGACTGCCAGATGGTGAAGCGTGATTCATCACTCCAGTGAACGCAATTCCACTGAGCGTTACACCACTCCAGCCAACGCTTGGCATTGCACATGGTCATCTTAGGCTTGTGTGCAACTGCTTGGCCATGGAAGCTCCCGAACGAAAAGCTATTGTGCTGACGTTGTTTCCAGAGGCAGTTTGGAACTCGGTACTGAGTGTTGCAACCGAGGATAGAGGATTTTTACAAACTGACTTGTTGGAAAAGTGGCATCCTATGACGGTGCCACGTTGAAAGTCACTGAGCCAATGTTTGTCTGTGGAGATTGCATGGCTGTGTGATCGATGGCTGTGTGATCGGGGCGGCAGGTAGCTTAGTGGTTAAGAGCGTTGTGGCAGTAACCGAAAGGTCGCTGGTTCTAATCCTCGAGCCGACAAGGTGAAAAACCTGTTGATGTGCCCTTGAGCAAGGCACTTAACCCTAATTGCTCCTGTAAGTCGCTCTGGATAAGAGCGTCTGCTAAATGACCAATTTATTTTATTTATAATTTTATCGATTTTATACACCCGTCAGATGGATGTGGCTGATATAGCCGAATCCACTCATCTGAAGGGATGTCCACACACTTTTGTAGATATAGTGTATGTCTCACACACACTAAAGCTAAATGTCAAAAAGCTAAATGTTTCTTATACAGCACACAGCCAGGGAGCAGAGTGTCAGACTCACACCATTGCGTAAGGTTGGAAGGAAATGCCATTGCTTCAACGACACCATAAATCAACCCTAATGTAGTTAAACGTCTGCTCTGAAACTTGCACCTGCGAACATGCATTATAGCAAGGCTACTAGCAAAAGCAGTTAAGACATACACTATTCCTGCTACTACCAGTACTACCCCTACTACTACTATCACCACTACTACCACCATCACCACCACTACTACTATCACTACTACTACTACCACCACCATCACCACCACTACCACCATCACCACCACTACTACCATCACTACAGTATAGAACTCCATCTCATGCTTCTGTGACTGTTCTGTTGTTCTACTATTAGTATCACTATTAAATAACAATGGTGATAAAGACATTGATTAATGATCAACTTAGATTTGCTTACAGTGTTACAGATTTATTCTACTACTCAGCACAGCTAGGAAGGCATGTTTATCCCACTGTCTCCAGGTCCAGTATTATTAACATAGATCTCCAAGTGTGTGTGTGTGTGTGTGTTTATGTGTGTTAGTACTGTCTGCCAACTAAAGCAGCTGTGAGTCTTCAGAGTGAAAACACAGCATCCCTTTTCTGAGCCCAGAAAGACAAGAGGAGCATTTGAAAGCCAGACTCCTATCAAAACAGATGACACCACAGTTAAAGGGTCATACACACACTCTGACGCCGTCCCTCCTTAGTAATGCATTATCCTGGCTGACACACCCGCACACAGACACACAGACACACACACTGTCCCTCCCCAACCTCACTCCTGGCCGACACACTTGAGCCTGTATGTTTATAGGTTTGGGTCAGTGTGTTTACTGGAAGATGACAGCAGCCTCTGGACCTCTCCTCCCTCTCTGTTCCAGTAAAAAAAAGCGTTCCCACACATCCTTTAAGAGTAGGTTAATAGCAGAACACTCTGTATTGTTTGATTGAGACCTTTTGCTATTTAGTCCATTGTGATGGTATTTGTGGAAACTCAGTGTCTCAAACATTGTTGTTAGTCTCCACAGATCCTTCAAACACAAGAGCACTGTCTGAGTTCATGGATGAATAGCTTACTAGCATTACTCAAAACAGACATGATTTAATCAATGGATGAGTATTAAGCCTAGTGTTATTCATTATCCAAACAGAAGAGCACTGAAAGGATTATGTGTTTTAATAGATCATGCATTCATATACAGTGTGTTTAGGAGTTGGCAGTTTGGCATCTTAACTAACCTCCAGCCATTTAAAAGTAGGGTAAATGAGTAAGACCAGACAAATGTGTGCGCGTGTGTGTAACGCTTTGTTCCTGCAAGTTAAGCAGCCATAGCTCCCCCATCTCATTCGGCTCCTCTGTTTCTATTTTAACCTTTCATATTTCCATTTTTGTTTTTGTATAATGAGTTGTGACTGTGTCTAAAATGCACTTTAAATGCACTGGATTAGGGTTAGATGAGAGATGACAGCTAAGAACTAACCAGATCCATATAGGACTCTGACGCTGACATATTCATATATGTGGTCTTCTGTAGCTCAGCTGGTAGAGCACGGCGCTTGTAACGCCAGGGTAGTGGGTTCGATCCCCGGGACCACCCATACACAAAAATGTATGCACACATGACTGTAAGTCGCTTTGGATAAAAGCGTCTGCTAAATGGCATATTATTATTATTATTATATTCCACACGCCTGACTTGTCTTACCTCCCCGTCTGCCTTGCCAATGGGTGAGTTGAGAATGAAGTCAGGAGGGGCGACGGCGTCCACCAAAGCTATGGCCTCATCCTTCAGCTGTTAGAGGGAGAGAAGGAGAGAGGGATTAGTGGGAAGAATGGAGGGAGAGAAGGAGAGAGAGAGTATACACACAGATAAACACAGACAAACACAGTGATTGCACTCTGAAGAGAGCACACTACAAGCCAACAAACACCTTTGAGGTCATCCCCCTCAGTCCTCCAAACCAAACAACTCAAGACCACATGACATTTAATGGGTTATTTAGGCCAATCTCATTTGTGTGTGTGCATCTTAGGCTTGGGCAATATACTGTTTATACCGTATACACCGGGATATTTCTAAATACCGACGGTATGATTTTCAATACTGTTAAAAAAAATTATAATAAGCCACTGCTTATAACTAACTAAAAGTTAAGTATAACTATAAGAAATCTAAGATGTGTGAAATAAATTATATCCAGCTCAGTACTCCAGCTATGCATTTGGTTTGCTAACTTTCTAGCTAAGTGGCTAGATGTCAATCCCTTACTGGATCAAGAATATTGTTTGCGCCCCTTGAAAATGAAAATCTGGATACCGCCCAACCCTAGTGCATGAATTAGTTCATATGAGAACTGACCTGAGAGCAGAGGGTGAGGATGGCCTGCTGGATCCAATCAGCTGGCTCCCAACCAGAGAAATAACCACCTGGAGGAACACAACAACAACACACACACACACACACACACACACACACACAAACACACAGAATATAATACATAATCAGGCATGCTCAACTCTCAAAAGGATACAGTCTTTGGGAGAAGTCGACCAGGGGCCGTATGTATCAAGTGTCTCAGAGTAGGTGTTGATATAGGATCAGGCCTGCCCGGTCCATGTTATCTTATTCATTATTATGTAAAAGGTTAATCTGATCTTAGATCAGCACTCCTTCTGTAAAGACCCTATATGAATATGGGCCCAGGGGAAGTCAAACTTTAATGAGAAAGACGGCAAGCTCTCAAATGAACCTGACCCTGGTACAGCGTGGCCATGTGGTTGCTGAGGGTCCACAAGCTGTAGAGGGCACAGAGCTGTTTAAGAACTGGTCTGAGACCAGCCGGTGTGTTCTCGTCATGGGTCTGGTCGTGGAACCTCTGCACCACGGTGTGCTCTATGTACACGATGGACAAGGAACGGCAGTAGAACACCTGGATAGGTACAGACACACACACACACAACACACACAGAAACACAACATAGTACAAGTAACTTTTTTTTAAATGCAGGAATGACATAAAAAGTGACAAAAAAGTTATTCCAAGCTAATCGCACACACACATAGAGAGAGAGAGAGAGCAGGAGACAAAACAGCGTTATTAGATTCCAATTTCCAAACACTGCAGAAGTTAGACTGAACCAAACATCCCCCCTCCAGTTATCATAACCCCATTCCCAGCCCTGGTATTGAATTGTGTGTCTGTGCCTCTCCCCTTGTCTGGCCTTGACTGGGCGATGCCCATCCTTCCTTTTCCATGTTGGCAGAGAGAACACAGATCCTCTCCCACGCCTCTGAACCCCTCTACCACTCTGCCAAGGTCGCTGTGTTCCCCGCCTAGTCCCCTGGTCTGGGTACGAGATAACTCTGGATCTGCCTCCTCCCTGCATGTCCTTTCACACCAGACCTGGGTTCAAATAGTATTTATTTACTTTCCAATACTTTTAGCTGAGCTTGATTAGCTTGATTGAGCTTGCCTGCGCAGCGGAACCAAAAGGTACTGATGGAATAGTCCCAAAAGTGCAAACTCCCACCCATCTAGCTCAAGCAAAGGCTCACCTATTTGAACCCAGGTGTGGGTATGAGGTCGCTCTCTGGCTGTACCTCCTCTGTGGACTTTTTTTCCTCCTTCTATTAGGTCAGTCAGTTCATCTGTCCCTCTATAACAATGGGTGAAGTCATCATCAGTGATGAAAAAAATATATTTAAAAAATCCTAAAAACACTGACACTTAATAGACCGAATATGAAAACAAACTTGTTTTGGTCATAGTGTGGCAACATAGTGGAGTTCTAACTTGTTTTGGTCATAGTGTGGCAACATAGTGGAGTTCAAACTTGTTTTGGTCATAGTGTGGCAACATAGTGGAGTTCAAACTTGTTTTGGTCATAGTGTGGCAACATAGTGGAGTTCAAACTTGTTTTGGTCATAGTGTGGCAACATAGTGGAGTTCAAACTTGTTTTGGTCATAGTGTGGCAACATAGTGGAGTTCAAATTTGTTTTGGTCATAGTGTGGCAACATAGTGGAGTTCAAACTTGTTTTGGTCATAGTGTGGCAACATAGTGGAGTTCAAACTTGTTTTGGTCATAGTGTGGCAACATAGTGGAGTTCAAACTTGTTTTGGTCATAGTGTGGCAACATAGTGGAGTTCAAACTTGTTTTGGTCATAGTGTGGCAACATAGTGGAGTTCAAACTTGTTTTGGTCATAGTGTGGCAACATAGTGGAGTTCAAACTTGTTTTGGTCATAGTGTGGCAACATAGTGGAGTTCAAACTTGTTTTGGTCATAGTGTGGCAACATAGTGGAGTTATAACTTGCTTTAGTCATAGTGTGGCAACATAGTGGAGTTCAAATACACTCTAGAAAAAAAGGGTTCTTGAGAATTTATTTGAAGTGAGCCATGGTTCTATGTCGCACTATTTCTAATCAAATAACCCTTTTCTTGGAGAGGGTTCTTCACTAGGTACTTCGCTGTCTGAATTGTTGCAAAGAACCCTCTTGCTAGCAGCAGTGGGTTCGGTTCCTATGAGGGGTTATAATTGCAGGCAATCATGAATTAGCCTACCATATCGGTACGAAGTAGTCTTATCAGACATTAACCATGCAAAAACTGGAGCCAGTCAGCAACATACGAGATATGTCAAAACACATTCTGATTCATCTGATTTAGCAGTTATAAACACATTTGTTATTAGTCGAGTGTAAGTTGAGACTATAGCCGTCTTTAGCTAATCCTTGTTCTAAGCCAACAGGATACAGGGTTCGGGTTAGGACAACACCACAGCCAGACACGCTGAGCCAACTGGCCTAAGAAGGCTGCCAAAGCAAACGCTCACTCTTCACACAAATACACACACACTAGAGCTGGGCGATTAGGAGAAAAATACATATCACAATAAATTGACTGAATTATCACGAAAACGATAAATTGAACGATTAATGTGCACCACAGCAATCTTTTTTGTATTACCCTTAAAACTACTACTACTTTTGATGATGTAGCTATCAATTGTCCCAATAACAATCACCCATATTAGCAAGCTTATTTAATTTCGAACTAGTAGGGCCCTATAGGCTATTTATAGTAATTAACAATAACAGCAAAATGTCCATGATAAGTGGTCAGTGTCTCATCATGTAGGCTAGCCCACCCGCACTATATCTGCAAGCTGTTGGCTAGAGCAGGGGTTTTCAAACTTTTCTTGCCCAGGGACCCCTGCCCAGGCACTCCAGCGACCCAAAACGTTGCTGTTGTAAAGCTAATTTTCTGCTATTCAAATTTTTTTTTTATTGAGCTGAGATAACATTTTGTAGTTTTGATGCTAATTTCCAGCAATTCTACACAGTTCGGCATGGAGCTGAGAGACAATTTTGCTGTTTTAAAAAGGTGCAATTCTCCTGCAATTCTATGCATTTTGCCATGGCTAATGCTGTGTTCCTCTGCTCAAACATTATAACAAAATCAATGGGCATGTAGACTGAATGCATGGTTTTGGGAATTTTCTATTCTCCCTGACTAGCTCTGACTTGATTGTTAGTTCTCAAATATGGTATTATTAAAATATACTCTACCGGTCAAAAGTTTTTGAACACCTACTCATTCAAGGGTTTTTCTTTATTTTTACTATTTTCTACATAGTGAAGACATCAAAACTATGAAATAACACATATGGAATCATGTAGTAAACAAAAAAGTGTTAAACAAATCAAAATATATTTGAGATTTGAGATTCTTCAAATAGCCACCCTTTGCCTTGATGACAGCTTTGCACACTCTTGGCATTCTCTCAACCAGCTTCACCTGGAATGCTTTTCCAACAGTCTTGAAGGAGTCCCCACATATGCTGAGCACTTGTTGCCTGCTTTTCCTTGACTCTGCCGTCCGACTCATCCCAAACGATTTCAATTTGGTTGAGGTCAGGGGATTTTGGAGGCCAGGTCATCTGATGCAGCACTCCATCACTCTCCTTCTTGGTAAAATAGCCCTTACACAGCCTGGAGGAAAACAAATGATAGTCCCACTAAGCCCAAACCAGATGGGATGGCGTGTCGCTGCAGAATTATGTGGTAGCCATGCCGGTTAAGTGTGACTTGAATTCTAAATAAATCACAGACCGTATCACCAGCAAAGCACCCCCACACCATAACACCTCCTCCTCCATGTTTTACGGTGGGAAATACACATGCGGAAATCATCCGTTCACCCACACCGGTTGGAACCAAAAATCTCAAATTTGGACTCCAGACCAAAGGACATATTTCCACCGGTCTAATGTCCATTGCTCGTGTTTCTTGCCCCAAGCAAGTCTCTTCTTATTGGTGTCCTTTAGTAGTGGTTTCTTTGCAGCAATTTAACCATGAAGGCCTGATTCACACAGTCTCATCTGAACAGTTGATGTTGAGATGTGTCTGTTACTTGAACTCTGTGAAGCATTTATTTGGGCTGCAATTTATGAGGCTGGTAACTCTAATGAACTTATCCTCTGCAGCAGAGGTAACTCTGGGTCTTCCATTCCTGTGGCGGTCCTCATGAGAGCCAGTTTCATCATAGCGCTTGATGGTTTTTGCGACTGCACTTGAAGAAACTTTAAAAGTTCTTGAAATCTTCTGGATTGACTGACCTTCATGTCTTAAAGTAATGATGGACTATCATTTATCTTTGCTTATTTGAGCCGTTCTTGCCATAATATGGACTTGGTCTTTTACCAAATAGGGCTATCTTCTGTATACACCCCTACCTTGTCACAACACAACTGATTGGCTCAAACGCATTAAGAAGGAAAGAAATTCAGCAAATTAACTTAATCTACTTCCCCAGAGTCGGATGAACAGGAACAGCTAGCATGCTAACTGTTCCTGTAGACTTCCAGTAATTGCGCTAACAGTAGTTAGCATTGGCTCGTGAAACTACCTATAACTTCCTTCATAATGGACGCAGAGATAGAAAAATGGTATCCACGATAGTATTCTGTTGCAGCTAGCAATATTCATTAAATAATAATTTGTCACATAAAACAAATCTCATGCAGTACCGCCGGGGGGGGGGGCTTGGACTCCAGTTTGAAAACACCTGGGCTAGAGCGCATGTGCCAAGACCAAAGTGGGCACATTTGTTATATATCGCAACAGTTTTTGAGACAAAACCATCAGTAGAGCTGAAAATGCGATGGAAGTCCATTTAACTTGTATTTTTTATTTGGTACATGGGAATTTAACCGCAAAAGTTATTTTTATGTGCACTACGTCATGACGCACAGCCTTTCATCCGCAACAAGTCACATTTATGGAAACACATCTCTGGTGGGAAAATGCGCATATTGTTTTAGAATATTTACATGAAAATCTGTCGCCGATTGGATGGAATCCTAGCTAATGACTGTTCTAGAAGCACTTGGTTGGTACACGTGCCTGTAGAGAAGCAGATAGACCAGAACTACAGTACCTTACGTGGACTTTCAGCTACTGAAATGTAATGACATCAATGTAAAGACAGCTGTATAATGTTAAAATAAAATCACAAAAGGTGATGATGATGATGATGATGAAGATGAAAGTGGATGACCAGTAGTTCAGTGTTTTATCTGACCTTACTCCCCTCCTGTTGTGTGTGTGCATGCGTGCGTTGTGTGTGTGTGTGTGTGTGTGTGTGTGTGTGTGTGTGTGTGTGTGTACTATTTACCTGGCTGTTGTTGCGGGCCTCAAAGTCAGCCTTGCCAGAAGCCTTCTCCTGAGCCAGTCTCCTCTCGCTCTCTCTTAGTAGGAAACACACCAGCCATTTATACGCTGCTAACGGCACTGAGGTGAGAAGAGAGACCAGGAAATATGTTAGGCTTCAGAGATAATATTATTTATTCCGTTACTTTAGATACAATATTAAATAAATCGAGGACATGAGTAAGCTTTCTAGTGTTAAAAACACAGATTTCATCAGGTAATATTTACAATATGAGCATATTAAAAAGGGAAATGAGTTTGACTTCAGAGATTTCATCAGGTAATATTTAAAATATGAACTTATGGAAGAGTATCAAGAAAGGTTTCCAATGCATACAGTATCAAATCAACATTTGTTCTCTTATCATAATACAGTTAATCTTCTAGCAAGTTATGGAACATCTCTTGGACAACCCTGTCCTAGCCTGTTAGAAATCAAAGGTCAGATAACATAGAATAGGTAGTGAGTGACTAACCTGAATCCTTCTGACCATGATAACACTGTTTTATTTTTGGCTAGCTTTATAAGGAGTGGGGGTTGAGCGAGTGCAGGTGTGTGTGTGTGTGTGACGGTTGTTTTCACAGCTTCTAGGGCCAAGGTTTGCAGAGGAGTGTGTAACATGATGATAAATAATGACAAACATATGATCCTGGAATGATTATGAGGAGGATATGAGAAGCTTTATGCTTGTAAGGTTTGGAGATGCACGCACGCACACACACACACTAACCAGAGACATTGTGAACCTTGAAGGGTCAGATAAGGAAATAATTATAACAGGAGAATATTGGGGATAGGGCTGTCCCAGACAACAACAAAAAAAATTGGGTCGACCAAGAGTCATCTGTGGATTAAACGTGTATTTTTCCATATATTGACACATCCTATATGTTTTATCAAATCAACTATATTCACTGAGCTTGTCTGATGCTTTAAGCACACGGTTTGATTAAATAATTAAGACACACAAATGACTAGAGAGAGTCCGACCAGCAATTGATTTGATTGTGCCTGCCGGGCTCAGACTTGCTGCTCTGAAAAAGAGTGACTGTGACTAGCACCTGTTGTTTCGCTCTCCTCCCTGCAGCAGCGAACACCACAGAACATCAACAGTGTTTATCGGGCTGTCCGTGTTGCTGAAGCAACAATATAATTACAGCTATATCTGACTGAAAAGTTGTTACCGAAATCCCTCATTTGAGGATAAACATTCCCTATTCCCTCAACCCTTGCTCTCTTTAGGTGACACGGGTATGCTTTGCATGCACGTGACCAAAGACCTATTCGCACGGGACTAGTATTAGTAGAGAACGTTGGTTATGTACAGTGGGGAAAAAAAGTATTTAGTCAGCCACCAATTGTGCAAGTTCTCCCACTTAAAAAGATGAGAGAGGCCTGTCATTTTCATCATAGGTACACGTCAACTATGACAGACAAAATGAGAAAAAAAATCGAGAAAATCACATTGTAGGATTTTTTAATGAATTTATTTGCAAATTATGGTGGAAAATAAGTATTTGGTCAATAACAAAAAGTTTCTCAATACTTTGTTATATACCCTTTGTTGGCAATGACACAGGTCAAACGTTTTCTGTAAGTCTTCACAAGGTTTTCACACACTGTTGCTGGTATTTTGGCCCATTCCTCCATGCAGATCTCCTCTAGAGCAGTGATGTTTTGGGGCTGTCGCTGGGCAACACGGACTTTCAACTCCCTCCAAAGATTTTCTATGGGGTTGAGATCTGGAGACTGGCTAGGCCACTCCAGGACCTTGAAATGCTTCTTACAAAGCCACTCCTTCGTTGCCCGGGCGGTGTGTTTGGGATCATTGTCATGCTGAAAGACCCAGCCACGTTTCATCTTCAATGCCCTTGCTGATGGAAGGAGGTTTTCACTCAAAATCTCACGATACATGGCCCCATTCATTCTTTCCTTTACACGGATCAGTCGTCCTGGTCCCTTTGCAGAAAAACAGCCCCAAAGCATGACGTTTCCACCCCCATGCTTCACAGTAGGTATGGTGTTCTTTGGATGCAACTCAGCATTCTTTGTCCTCCAAACACAACGAGTTGAGTTTTTACCAAAAAGTTATATTTTGGTTTCATCTGACCATATGACATTCTCCCAATCCTCTTCTGGATCATCCAAATGCACTCTAGCAAACTTCAGACGGGCCTGGACATGTACTGGCTTAAGCAGGGGGACACTTCTTGCACTGCAGGATTTGAGTCCCTGGCGGCGTAGTGTGTTACTGATGGTAGGCTTTGTTACTTTGGTCCCAGCTCTCTGCAGGTCATTCACTAGGTCCCCCCGTGTGGTTCTGGGATTTTTGCTCACCATTCTTGTGATCATTTTGACCCCACGGGGTGAGATCTTGCGTGGAGCCCCAGATCGAGGGAGATTATCAGTGGTCTTGTATGTCTTCCATTTCCTAATAATTGCTCCCACAGTTGATTTCTTCAAATCAAGCTGCTTACCTATTGCAGATTCAGTCTTCCCAGCCTGGTGCAGGTCTACAATTTTGTTTCTGGTGTCCCTTGACAGCTCTTTGGTCTTGGCCATAGTGGAGTTTGGAGTGTGACTGTTTGAGGTTGTGGACAGGTGTCTTTTATACTGATAACAAGTTCAAACAGGTGCCATTAATACAGGTAACGAGTGGAGGACAGAGGAGCCTCTTAAAGAAGAAGTTACAGGTCTGTGAGAGCCAGAAATCTTGCTTGTTTGTAGGTGACCAAATACTTATTTTCCACCATAATTTGCAAATAAATTCATAACAAATTCTACAATGTGATTTTCTGGATTTTTTTTTCTCAATTTGTCTGTCATAGTTGACGTGTACCTATGATGAAAATTACAGGCCTCTCTCATCTTTTTAAGTGGGAGAACTTGCACAATTGGTGGCTGACTAAATACTTTTCTTCCCCACTGTAATTATTACTCCAGAATGTCCGTTATTCTTTCTTTTTTTTTCCAATAAATTGACGGTTATGACGGAAGCCTGGAGGTTTTTATTCTAGGCGTGACGATACAGTATTTCAACATGTCCATGTGATTGGTCCACACTGATAACTCGAGCTTGGTTCCCAAGTTTTGGAAGAGTTGGAATTCCATGTTGGATAACCGTTCAAAACTATTTTTACTAGTCAGAGCTCATTTTTTTCAGAGTTCCCAGTTGTCTTGAACGCACTGAAGTCAGAGATTTCCCAGTTCCCAGCGGTTTTGAACGCTGCATCAGATTGTAACTATGGTACCTCAGGGTTGCCAGGGCAGAACCCCTTTCCAGGGGTTCTTTTTTCATTTAGTGTATAAACTTCTCTTGTGTTTGCCCCCCATTTATTGATAAATCGCCCATCATAGTAATATTTCCTGCATCATATCCCCCCACCATACCTTCCCCCATTTCTACCCCCCACCACAATAATAATAATAATAATAATAAGCCATTTAGCAGACGCTTTTATCCAAAGCGACTTACAGTCATGTGCGCATACATGTTTACGTATGGGTGGTCCCGGGGATCGAACCCACTACCCTGGCGTTACAAGCGCCATGCTCTACCAATTGAGCTACAGAGGACCACAAATTAAATGAACCCCCCCACAAACCCCCCTTAAATGGTTTCATCCCTGTTTAGCTTTCGCGCTACGGTTAGGCTAGGCAGTAGGCTTGTATTTGGGGTGATGATCTATACGATGATAACATTTTATTTGCTTTGTGATTTGTCAAAAACGGTAAACGACTTGTCAAGTCATGTGCTCTGGTTCTTGTATACACTGTAACATGTACATTGAAGATTTGTAATATGCTGAAAAGTGGCCAAACTAAGTTAATATTTTTCAGGCAATGGGCGCAGCCATCTTTGACTTTGACTTTGTTTATTTGCGTCTTATAGTGAGTGGCATTCTGGGGTTAGGGAGTTTTTGCTTGTCAAACATAAACAAACATGGCTGCCATCATAAAGAATTTAGCTGCTGTTAGCTTAGCTGACACGCATCTCTTTTCTAAACAATATTACATTTCTCCCTTTTGCTCACCAGAGAAGTGGTACATTGTAAACAAGTCTAGCTGTTAGGTCGCTAACTTATGCTTAGTTATTTATCAGTGCAACCTGTTATTTAGACTGGTTTATGGAATGGGTTTTGCTGTGGATGTGTTCCGTGTGATGTTTGGATGATGAAGTTCGCATTTATCTTTTACAATAAAAGGTGAAATTGAGGAATAAAGTTGTGAAGACCTTTATTTCCCATCTGTACAAAACATTGTTTAGATGCTTTTCAGACAACAATGCTGTTTAGATGCGTTTGTTGCATCATACGTTCTGTTGCTACTGTTCCAATCACATATTTGTGATGGTACGCTGCAAGGACCACAAATATGTGATTGTATGCATCAAAGGGTTCAAATACATATTTTCAATAATTTACGGATACAAACTTGAAACCAATGATCATAACTATGGGGTGAAACTCCTGGACAACAGTTGTGATTGTCCATTCCATATTGTCCATGTTACTTTGACCTGTCCTGTTTTTAGGATATGTTGCTTTGTTAACATGACAGCTCATTTTTAATTTGATTGAGCGCCATTTCAGAAAATGCTGTCCTAGTCAATCTGCCGTCATAGGCGGCTGCCTAATCCTGCCTAATGAGCAGTCAGGCCGTGCCTATAGCATATCATAATCACATCAATAAATTGGTTATAACAAACTCTGAACACCATAACATGTGACAGCAAAATGGATGCAGTGGACGTGACAGATAAACTCAAAAGGGGGAATATTTACAGGTTGCTCAGGAGGTAAAAATATGTGTGGAATAGGTTAGATTAGTCGTGGATAATACTGGAGATCAAGAAAAATAAGGTAAGGAGCAAGCACTGAGTGCATATTATGTATGCCAAACAGGTGCTGTATAGATTACAATATCATTTCTGACCATTTGGAACAATGTAAACAACACTAAATAAAGTATAAGCGTACAGTGGCTTGCGAAAGTATTCACCCCCCTTGGTATTTTTCCTATTTTGTTGCCTTACAACCTGGAATTAAAATGGATTTTTGGGGGGTTTGTATCATTTGTATCATTTGATTTACACAACATGTGAAACAAACAAGAAATAAGACCAAAAAAAAAAAAAACTTGAGCGTCCATTACTATTCACCCTCCCAAAGTCAATACTTTGTAGAGGCAACTTTTGCAGCAATTACAGCTGCGAGTCTCTTGGGGTATGTCTCTAAAAGCTTCGCACATCTAGCCACTGGGATTTCTGCCCATTCTTCTAGGCAAAACTGCTCCAGCTCCTTCAAGTTGGATGGGTTCCACTGGTATAAAGCAATCTTTAAGTGATACCACAGATTCTCAATTGGATTGAGGTCTGGGCTTTGAGTAGGCCATTCCAAGACATTTAAATGTTTCCCCTTAAACCACTCGAGTGTTGCTTTAGCAGTATGCTTAGGGTCATTGTCCTGCTGGAAGGTGAACCTCCGTCCCAGTCTCAAATCTCTGGAAGACTGAAACAGGTTTCCCTCAAGAATTTCCCTGTATTTAGCGCCATCCATCATTCCTTCAATTCTGACCAGTTTCCCAGTCCCTGCCAATGAAAAACATCCCCACAGCATGATGCTGCCACCACCATGCTTCACTGTGGGGATGGTGTTCTCGGGGTGATGAGAGGTGTTGGGTTTGCGCCAGACATAGCGTTTTCCTTGATGGCCCAAAGTATATTTTTTTATAACCCAACCCTGATCTGTACTTCTCCACAACTTTGTCCCTGACATGTTTGTAGAGATCCTTGGGCTTCATGGTGCCGCTTGCTTAGTGGTGTTGCAGACTCTGGGGCCTTTCAGAACAGGTGTATATATACTGAGATCATGTGACAGATCTAATGACACTTAGATTGCACACAGGTGGACTATATTTAACTAATTATGTGACCTGAAGGTAATTGATTGCACCAGATCGTATTTAGGGGCTTCATAGAAAAGGGGGTGAATACATATGCACGCACCACTTTTCCGTTATTAATTTTTTTGAATCTTTTGAAACAAGTTATTTTTTTCATTTCACTTCACCAATTTGGACTATTCTGTGTATGTCCATTACATGAAATCCAAATAAAAATCAATTTCAATTACAGGTTGTTATGCAACAAAATAGGAAAAATGCCAAGGGGGATGAATACTTTTGCAAGGCACTGTACCAGAGAGTCTGTTGTAAAAAAAACGATTTGTTAAGCCTTTATTACAGCAAAGGCTAAAAACTGTCGCATTTATTTATTGTTTAAGCTAATTATTCAAGGCTCGCTTTATTTATTTTAAAACTAAAATGCCTGATTGCATTTCAAATCATGAATGACTCGTATGCTGTGTGATGACATGAATGAATGAATGATTGATACAGTAGCCTATAGAAGTATTGAAATATAGGCCTAAGTAAGTTATGGTATTAAGACTAAACAGGATATGCTCTTAGGCCTACAGCTCGATGGTGGTTATACAAGGCTGTGGCAACACAAACAGTACGATGTTGACAGACAGTGACCGATCCGGTACACAAAATGGCCGCCTTTATTTTTCCCCTTTCTCGTTCCAATTCAGCCAATTAGCTGGCAGAGCAGACCTGGGTCGCTCGTCGACCGGCGGGCTGAGTCACCCTCTGTGGTATGATGTCAATAAATGGACCAGATGTTTTGCAGATGGGGGAGAGAAGGCTTCGATGTGTGTGTGTGTGTGTGTGTGTGTGTGTGTGTGTGTGTGTGTGTGTGTGTGTGTGTGTGTGGCATATGAGGAAAGAGAGGCTTTAACCAAGATTTACATCATCTGAGACTGAGGCTGTCTGGACGGCTTTACCTTGGAAGGGCATTCATTCAGTCTAAAGCAGCATGCAAAACACAGCTGAAGCCGGTGTGTGTGTGTGCGCGTGCATCTGTGTTTGATTCAACACATTCTATTTGCCTTTGTTTAGGTTGCTTTTTGGATTGAGATGATTTTGTTCCAGCCCTCTATAATTAAAGCTATGGTTGAGCTATATTACAATATAAAAGATGGGGATTTTGTGAGGGCTTTAAACAGGCACTTCCAGGGGCAGCTTGCCCTGGCCTGGGAATGGGGTCCTTCAGAGGGTCAGTAAGGCTTTGCTTGCCTTCTACCAGATGTGACAGCTGGAGAGTGGGTGTTACCTCTGGCATCATGACAAATAGCTTCCAGTAAAGCGCTTTCCAGTAGTACAATAACACTGGGCATCTTACATAACTGACTGGCCATAAGCAATCTCTGCATGGAGCGGAGTACTGACTAGAGAGAGGTGTTTGTGGTTGCAGCTGCAGAGACAAGTGTGTGTGTGTGTGTGTGTGTGTGTGTATGTGTGTGTGTCGTTACCTGCAGAGTCCATGCACTCCTCCACCGACGTTGCCGTGAACCTGGTCTCCAGAATGCTGTCATATTCTTCCAGGAAGTTGACAGACTCTAGTGGAGACTCAATCCTCACTCCATCTACAACAAACAAATACTAGTATATAAGACATTCATAAGACATTTATAAGCAGTTTATAAGCTGGATGTGGCGACAATCATCACTCCATCTAATGAAACAACAACAAAACCAAACCAGCACATAAAACAGTGAGACAAACGGTTAACATTACAATCTCATGCGTAAAATCAATATATTTCAATAGCATACAAATAATGAGCTGCAACCAGTGTCTTTAGGATTTCACAGGTTCTCTAAAAATGATATGTAATGATTTACAAAGCAGTTCCATAATGATTTATAAAGCATTTATAAGCGGTCTATGAAACAAAGTGTTCCTGGTATTAATACTAACCGTGTTGTTTGGCGTGTAGTTGGCTGAGGAGGTAGTTACTGGTCTGCTGCAGGAGCACGTTGTTGTCTCCCTCATATGTACAGTTAGGGTCGTTGTCATCCCTGATGGCCCCCAGACGATTCACTACAAGGGAGTCAACATCCAGCATCATTATTAGGAGATAGATTTGATGTGGGTTAGGGTTGTGGTTGCGGCAAGGGTTTAAATCGGGATGTGGACATGAGGCTAGGGTTAGGGTTGTGGTTGAGGCTGGGGTTAGGGTTGAACCAGGATGTGGATATGAAGTTAGGGTTAGGGTTGAGGCTGGGGTTAGGGTTGAAGTAGGATGTGGACATGAAGCTAGGGTTAGGGTTGAGGCTGAGGTTTGAACCAGGATGTGGACATGAACTTAGGGTTAGGGTTGAGGCTGGGGTTAGGTTTGAACCAGGATGTGGACATGAAGATAGGGTTAGGGTTGTGGCTAGGGTTTTATTATTATATTATTATGTGTGTGACTCACTGGCCAGGTATCCGTGTCCTCCGCAGGCCTCGCGGCACTCTTGGATACCCCTCTGAGCCGTCCAGGACCCCAGGGGCTTACTGGAGCAGGAGATGGCGTGGATCTCTCTGCCCAGCTCCGCCTAGTTAAAACACATATCACACAGAACTAACTATGGGTGTATGTGTCTCTCTCCCCTCCCTCTCTCTCCCTGTGTGTGTGTCTCACTCTCTCTTTCTCGCTCTCCTCATTTCTTCCTTTGTCTCTCTCTCTCTCTCTCTCTCTTCTTTCCTCTTTCTCTACGTGTCTCTCCTCTGTCTCTCCATCTCTTTCCCCCCCTCCTTCCCTTCTTTACCTGTCTGTCGCTCTTGTCCTTCATCATCAAACCGATCTGGAACTCCACAAAGTTCATGAAGATGGATTTAGAGAAGTAGTCCAGAGCGTACACAGCCGCCAGGTATGGGATCAGACGCCATTGCTGCAACCAGACGAGGGGAAAGGAGATAGCTAGTCAGTTGCACAACTGAATGCATTCAAACGAAATGTGCCTTCCGCATTTAACCCAAACCCTCTGAATCAGATGTGCGAGGGGCTGCCTTAATCGACGTCATCGGCACCTGAGGAGCAGTTGCTGTTGGGGGTTAACTGCTTTGCTCAAGAACGGCAGATTTTTAAACCTTGCCGGCTCAGGGATTCGAACCAGCGACCTTTCCGTTTCTGGCCCAATGCTCTTAACCACTAGGCTACATGCCTACAACGGGGTAACTTTAAAAAGGAAAATAACTGTTGATTTTCTGGTTTATTAAGAAAGCTAAACATTTGTGTTTTTTGATGTTGAGTAAATCTTTCTAAAAAGTACAAAGTTATTTCTGGATATTTAGGCAAATTAGCTGGCTAACTCATTGATTCTGCTTTGTAGTATACCCCTCTGGCGTCCACAGAAGACATATTTAACCATCAATGGAATGGGACGCATATCCCAAGGAACGTCTCTGAAAAAATTGGAAAAACTCCTGGCTTATACCTATGTCCACCAACATAACCATGGACCAACTGAAAGGTAACTAACTGTACATTACCTGGAGCTGGTATTCTATGACAGGAATCTCCTGGTCGTCTTTGGGTCCAAACTGGCGTCGGGTGGCAGAGAAACGGATAGCTATAGTCATGGCTAGCTTCAGGTTGACCACAGCCATTCTGGAGATGGAGACTCTGCCCCCCGACAGGGCACCCAGGGATGCACCGAAACGCTTGTTAGGGTCCTGGGGGACAGAGAGAGGAGGGAGGGATTAACATTGAGTTTGAGTATGAGAATATTAAAATGTTCCGTTTTTCAATAGTTTTCATAGTTTATTTGTGGGGGCCTTTAAATAAAAGTTGAAAAATAGGGCGTATGCAAGAGTGGAAAACTCTTGTCAAGTCAGTATTCACTTAAAATCTGATTCAAGAGGGAAATCCCACTCAAAGACTAAATCAACTGATTAACAAAGTAGAGAGTGAAGTTCCCCAAGTCCAAGTGTCCCTTTGCTGTTGACTTCTACGGTCATGAACAGTTTCATGTTGTATAGAGTACTTATTTTAAGACCCACTCCCTTACAGTTGAAGTCGGAAGTTTACATACATTTACACAATTCCTGACATTTAATCCTAGTAAAAAGTCCCTGTTTTAGGTCAGGTAGGATCACCACTTTGTTTTAAGAATGTGAAATGTCAGAACAATAGTAGAGAGAATTATTTATTTCAGCTTTTATTTCTTTCATCATATTCCCAGTGGGTCAGAAGTTTACATACACTCAATTAGTATTTGGTAGCATTGCCTTTAAATTGTTTAACTTGGGTCAAACGTGTCAGGTAGCCTTCCACAAGCTTCCCACAATAAGTTGGGTGAATTTTGGCCCATTCCTCCTGACAGAGCTGGTGTAACTGAGTCAGGTTTGTAGGCCTCCTTGCTCGCACATGCTTTTTCAGTTCTGCCCACACATTTTCTATAGGATTGAGGTCAGGGCTTTGTGATGGCCACTCCAATACCTTGACTTTGTTGTCCTTAAGCCAACTTTGGAAGTATGCTTGGGGTCATTGTCAATTTGGAAGACCCATTTGCGACCAAGCTTTAACTTCCTGACTGACGTCTTGCGATGTTGCTTCAATATATCCACATAATTTTCCTTCCTCATGATGCCATCTATTTTGTGAAGTGCACCAGTCCCTCCTGCAGCAAAGCACCCCCACAGCATGATGCTGCCACCCCCGTGCTTCACAGTTGGGATGGTGTTCTTCAGCTTGCAAGCCCCCCTTGTTTCCTCCAAACATAACGATGGTCATTATGGCCAAACAGTTCTATTTTTGTTTCATCAAACCAGAGGACATTTTTCCAAAAAGTACGATCTTTGTCCCCATGTCCAGATGCAAACCGTAGTCTGGCTTTTTTATGGCGGTTTTGGAGCAGTGGCTTCTTCCTTGCTGAGCAGCCTTTCAGGTTATGTCGATATAGGACTCGTTTTACTGTGGACATTGAGATCTCTAGTTGGGTTGGTCAGGGTGTGAAATCTAGTTTATATATTTCTATGTTGGCCGGGTGTGGTTCCCAATCAGAGGCAGCTGTCGGTCGTTGTCTCTGATTGGGGATCATACTTAGGCAGCCATGTTGCATACCTTAGTTGTGGGATCTTGTTTCTGTTTGGCTTGTTTGATGTTTAGCCTCTTGAACTTCACGTTCTGTTGGATTTTGTTATTTTGTCTGTGTTTATTCAAATAAACGACTATGTACGCATACCACGCTGCACCTTGGTCCGATCCTTTACACAACGAACGTGACAGATATAGATACTTTTGTACCTGTTTCCTCCAGCATCTTCACAAGGTCCTTTGCTGTTGTTCTGGGATTGATTTGCACTTTTCGCACCAAAGTACGTTCATCTCTAGGAAACAGAACACGTCTCCTTCCTGAGCAGTATGATGGCTGTGTGGTCCCATGGTGTTTATACATGCGTACGATTGTTTGTACAGATGAACGTGGTACCTTCAGGTGTTTGGAAATTGCTCCCAAGGATGAACCAGACTTGTGGAGGTCTACAATTATTTTTCTGAGGTCTTGGCTGATTTCTTTTGATTTTCCCATGATGTCAAGGCACTGAGTTTGAAGGTAGGCCTTGAAATACATCCACAGGTACACCTCCAATTGACTCAAATTATGTCAATTAGCCTATCAGAAGCTTCTAAAGCCATGACATCATTTTCTGAAATTTTCGAAGCTGTTTAAAGGCACAGTCAACTTAGTGTATGTACATTTCTGACCCACTGGAATTGTGATACATTAATAATATAATAATATAATATGCCATTTAGCAGACGCTTTTATCCAAAGCGACTTACAGTCATGTGTGCATACATTTTTGTGTATGGGTGGTCCCGGGGATCGAACCCACTACCCTGGCGTTACAAGCGCCGCGCTCTACCAGCTGAGCTACAGAGGACCATTATAAGTGAAATAATCTCTGTAAACAATTGTTGGAAAAATGACTTGTGTCAAGCACAAAGTAGATGTCCTAACCGACTTGCCAAAACTATAGTTTGTTAACAAGAAATGTGTGGAGTGGTTGAAAAACGAGTTTTAATGACTCCAACCTAAGTGTATGTAAACTTCCGACTTCAACTGTACATGTCTCATGGGTACAGAAGCATTTTCCAACACTTTCCTAACCCCTTTTTTCTCAAACCTTCTTCCACTAGGCTCCTAGTTACCAACTGAACCAGGAGTAAAACGGTACCAATTTTGAGCAGCATGCAGGGCCTTGCTGGGGATCCAATCCTTAACTCCTGTATTATACGTACACTAAAATGTTTATTCTATTCTACTGAGCCGTTTGCTTTATGTTCGTATTCTTATCTTGTATTCTTTTTTATTGTTGTTGCATTGTCTAGAAGGAACATGCAAGTAAGCATCCTGTTGGACAATGTATACCATGCGTATCCAGTACATACGACTAATAAAACTTGAAACTGAAACTAACCCCAGAACATTTAAGGCCTATATCCTCCCCCAGTCATTATTTGTTTCCTCAGAAGCCTCCTCCGGCCAAGTTGTTTTCTCAGAAGCCTCCTCAGGCCAAGTTCCCATCATTCAAGAGAACCCAGAGAGCCCTGGTAATTTATTTTTACATGTTTGTCTAATCCATCCATGTTTGTGTGTGCGCGTGGGGTCAAACACATCCATGTTTGTTTGGAACAAAAACAGAGGAAAGAGTCTTACTGTGAGATCAGGCGTGGTGGTCTGAAGACTACGAACCAGAATGTTTGTTTATATGTTTTAATTCGACATCCCACCACTCACGACTGAGTAGAGCCTAGCCAAGTTCTTTAGAAGGTTGGAGTTGGAATCTCGGTTAGAACTTTACAACGACAAACTATTATGCTCTGAGCCAGAGAAGAACAGAGAGTAGATATTTGATCATAGTCGTACTTGTAGTAAGTTGTAAAAATTGGATTTCTACTTCCTTCCTCAAACACACACACATGAAAGGTGTTCATGTGTGTGTGTGTTTCCTCACCTTAAAAGGTGTGACGTAGTGTCCTTCAGGGGTGACATCACCCGTCTTATTCAGCATATTCTCCCGAGGGATTCGGACATTGTGAAACACTGCAAACCTGGTACGGGAAACAAAAGACATGCACTAAAGTCAGAGCCCATTTTAGGAATACCTTTCAAATCATAATTAGTGTGGTGATCTATACAGTACAGCCTAGTTCTAAGCATTGGTACTGTAGAAATCCTGCACACCCCGGGAGAGAATTTTAGAACATTCATTAAACAGAACATTCTCATGGTTGAAACGTCTGTTCCACAGGACATTGTGGAAGTTCTATAATAATATAAAGTAGGATTCAACTGCCCTCTGGTGGTCTTGCGGAGTGTCACCACCAAAGTTCACAATGAATATTACTTTCTCTTTAGTAATATTATAGTAATATTATTAATGGTGCTTATTTTGACTGAATGCCATAGAATGCAGTGGTGTGATGATGAGAAATGCATAGTTTTATTTGCTATAAAACATATGGTATTGAACTTACCCATTGTCCAGTCCGTTCTGGCCGAGCTTCTTGCCCATATCTCCAACAATTACTCCTGGCATCGCCAGCAGAGTCTTGGGATCTCTTACCTGTCAAACACATTAATTTAGGTTACAATATCACAGTTTCACCAGCAAAGATAGTAGAAGCATGTTTTAGTTTTAAAATGTAAGATTCGTTTTGTGATTGCTTTTTGGAAATCATAAAGGATTGCTAACTCTGAGGACACAAAGTAGTACATGTATGCAAAAAGTTAATTTAAATACGGTAAGCTCACTGTACCTGAACTATGAAGGAGTGCAGGCCGTGACAGGCTCCGTCGGGGGTGTAGAGCTGGGCGAACACCACAGCATGTGTAGCCGTCTTCCCAAGGTTCCCCACCCAGAACTTGGCTGCCTCAAAATCAGGGGAATTGATCGCAAACTCCTGAAAGAGAGAGTTCACTTGAGTATAGTGTATTCTTAGTAGAGACTAATGATAATAATAATATATATAGAAGGTTTATTTGATCTTGTATACATACGCAGCTAAAAGCTGAATTGCAATATACAAAAACAAAAGGAAATAAAATAAAAAAGGAGACTGACACATTCAAAATCTACAGATCAAATAATTCAATATTCAGTATAGAATACAATACTATTCTAATGGAGTCAGAGGCCTTGCGGTGAACTGTATCCCACCCACCTGTGTGCTGGGATCATACTTGGCTGTGGTCCTCATAGCTCTGGTATTGCTGCCATGGCTCAGCTCTGTCAATGCAAAGCATCCAAACGTCTGTGGATACACAAACAATACCAGGTGCAGCTTAGGACATGGGACACCACAACGGTTACATTGTATTTCAACAGCTTTCTGTCACTGGGATACATGTTTTTTGAAATAGAGAAATGAATAGTCTGTTGTAGAATTAATAAATTGCAATAAAATAACCATTTATGTAACAAGTTGTCTTTTAGTTTCAGCATTCTAATGAGAGACATAGCTAGCAGCATTCAGGTCAAATAGCTTATTTGCATAACACACTGAACGGCAATAACCTGCCACTATAAAGAACTATGAAATCACTTTTAAGATGTGTTTACATTGATTCCAATACATTTGAAAGGGAGAAGGTAAATATCAATTCATGTGTATGCTGATTATTGTTTGTTTACCATCATGTCGTCTGTATCCTGCACAAACTGGCTGTGTCTCTGGGATCCGGAGTTGGCCACTGTCGCACCAAACATCTGAAACAGAACATGAATATGATTATACTGTAACCGCTCATATCATTACTCTTGAGAAGATTCAAGCATAATGTCACACTCTATGGAGGTTATACAACATGCATATGACTAAAGGTTGAAGCTTAGAGGCAATAGATAGACTTGCATGGGAGATCATCAAAATGAGTGGGTGAATTCACTTTCACAGTCCCCAAATCCAGTACAAACTCAAGGAAGCATACAGTATTATATAGAGCCATTATTGCATAGAACTCCATTCCATCTCATATTGCTCAAATGAATAGCAAACCTGGTTTAAAAAAACTGATTCAGCAACACCTCTCCCTTATTTGACCTAGATAGTTTGTGTGTATGTATTGATATGTAGGCTACGTGTGCCTTTTTCTAAATTGATGTAGTTCTGTCCTTGAGCTGTACTTGTCTATTAATGTTCTGTATTATGTCATGTTTCATGTTTTGTGTGGACCCCAGGAAGAGTTGCTGCTGCAGTGGGGATCCTAATAAAATACCAAATAGCAAAACTTAGGTTTGTAACTACTGACAACACTACTGACAACCCTCACCCCTTTGTTGAGGGAGAACTTAGCCCCCAGTGACCAGTCATACATGCCCAGACAGTCCTTGAGCACTATCTATCTCCAACTCTCTCTCCCTCCCTCCCTCCATCCATCCATCTAAACTCACCCCTTTGTTGAGGAAGTACTTGGCGCCCAATGACCAGTCGTACATGCCCAGACAGTCGTTGAGCACTACCGTCCTCCACGGGTTCGCCATAATGTCATCGCGTGTCAAGAAGTCATACCGGAACAGCTGTTTACACCGTCGGAAAGTGACCTCACGCATCCTCTCCGTTGACATGTCCTCGCCGGGCTGCCGGGCGAAGATAGGGTCGTTCTCCAACATCCGGAACACGTGTTGCTGTGGAATTGTGGGAGAAAATATTATAAAGTGACTTATGTAAGATATTACTCCAAATATAGGTCTAACAGTCAGTTACCGTTGTCAGTGTTTCTTTACATAGCCCAGAGACTTCTATTTGCAAATAGAAGGCTCTGACTTAGCCTACCCTTAATGCTCATTACAGAGCCTACTCTACCGGTCAAAAGTTTTAGAACACCTACTCATTCAAGGGGTTTTCTTTATTTTTACTATTTTCTACTTTGTAGAATAATAGTGAAGACATCAAAACTATGAAATAACACATATGGAATCATGTAGTAACCAAAAAAGTGTTAAACAAATCAAAATATATTTTATATTTGAGATTCTTCAAATATCCACCCTTTGCCTTGATGACAGCTTTGCACACTTTGCATTCTCTCAACCAGCATCACCTGGAATGCTTTTCCAACAGTCTTGAAGGAGTTCCCAGATATGCTGAGCACTTGTTGGCTGCTTTTCCTTCACTCTGTGGTCCGACTCATCCCAAACCATCTCAATTTGTTTGAGGTCGGGGGATTTTGGAGGCCAGGTCATCTGATGCAGCACTCCATCACTCTCCTTCTTGCTAAAATAGCCCTTACACAGCCTGGAGGTGTGTTAGGTCATTGTCCTGTTGAAAAACAAATGATAGTCCCACTAAGCTAGACTAGATGGGATGGCGTGTCGCTGCAGAATGCTGTGGTAGCCATGCTGGTTAAGTGTGCCTTGAATTCTACATAAATCACAGACAGTGTCACCAGCAAAGCACCCCCACACCATCACACCTCCTCCTCCATGCTTTACGGTGGGAAATACACATGTGGAGATCATCCGTTCACCCACACCACGTCTCACAAAGACACGGCGGTTGGAACCAAAAATCTCCAATTTGGACTCCAGACCAAAGGTCACTCTGGGTCTTCCATTCCTGTGGCGGTCCTCATGATAGCCAGTTTCATCATAGCACTTTATGGTTTTTGTGAATGCACTTCCGGATTGACTGACCTTCATGTCTTTAAAGTAATGATGGACTGTCGTTTCTCTTTGCTTATTTGAGCTGTTCTTGCCATAATATGGACTTGGTATTTTACTAAATAGGGCTATCTTCTGTATACCTTGTCACAACACAACTGATTGGATCAAATGCGTTAAGAAGGAAATAAATTCCACAAATTAACTTTTGACAAGGCACACCTGTTAATTGAAATGAATTCCAGGTGACTACCTCATGAAGCTGGTTGAGAGAATGCCAAGCGTGTGCAAAGCTGTCATCAAGGCAAAGGGTGGCTATTTGAAGAATCTCAAATATAAAATATTATTTGATTTGTTTAACACTTTTTTGGTTACTACATGATTCCATATGTGTTATTTCATAGTTTTGATGTCTTCACTATTATTCTACAATGTAGAAAATAGTAAAAATAAAGAAAAACCCTTGAATGAGTAGGTGTTCTAAAACTTTTGACCGGTAGTGTACCTTCAATGCTAGCATGTCCTCTCCCTCAAGGAACATAACCATCTCTTTCCAGTTGAAGGATGCTTTCTTCCTGTATATGTCCAGAGGTCCGCTAGGGAAGTCAGGCAGACCCAGCTCCATCTTGTCACTCTGGTCATACTTAGCCTTGGTGTAGCTGGGGACACTCATTATGTAAGGCACTTTATTGTTCCCTATAAGAAAGAGTGGAAAGAATAGTGGATACAATATCTTGAAGTAGCCTACTAGTTACTAAAAATAAAAAGATGCTTAGCTAGCTAGATAACATTCTTAAGAGCCTGCAGAGAGAGAGAGCGCAATGGCAGTGGAGGCCAGGGTTTGTGTAGTTCAAAAGTCCATTCCAGACAATCAGCTATATAGAGCAAGGGTCACGTTTCAATATCTGAGAAAACCATGCATGACATCACGTAGACTTTCAGAAACTATCAATTTGCTCTACCAGCAAATAGATGTCACCCTCATAACATTGATTGTCACAATCACCTAGACTACATCAACGTGCCATTTTGTTGACACCGACAGGCAAATAAACAAAAACTTTCATTACAGAAAACAGCTCACTGCACGAGCGCTCACCGCTTGTCATCATTTCACTACTTCCACTGCGTATAATGTCTATTTTCTATTATGCAGCGCATCCACAGCTTATATACTTTCAAAATAACACATTTAATCTAACTTAATGTGAAGCAGAATCGTAGAAAATACCGAAAATGTGCTACTCTTACCTGTGCCCTGACCTGCACTGTTTAAGCTAGGTCGTAAATGACGCGATGCAGTGCGACGGGTTTCGTGTGTTGTCAGTCGAGAGGGTTGTTAGCATAAATTCGCCTTGCTACACTGTTACTTCCTTTGCACCCCTTATAGACTATCGAAAATGTATTTCAATATATGGTATTTATTATTCACCGTGTCGTATAACTGCCATTCCTTTCTGTTAAAAGCGATGTTATTTTCTTGAAACCGGAAGTCCGGAGAGGGCTCAAACTTAGCTGGGGGGTGGTGACGATTGCTTTACTACATCAGTGTCTGCTTCATTGAATGAGGTTTAGCAGAAAAGTAGCGTCTGTTTTGGTGCCAAATATAATTTAAAACACTGCGCAAACTGTATATAAGAAAAACATTTGCACAAAACTGCAGTTTAACGGTGAGTGCGGGGTTGCATTTTATTTGAGACAACGATAGGCGACCGGCAGTTTTTGTGTTGCTAGCTAGCTAATGTTAGCTTGCGAAGTAGCTAGCTAAAGCCTTGCTAAGTAGCTAGCACCGTTTTTCGCTTAATTGGTCACCCATGAATTGCTTATACAATATACATACAAAACAACACACTAAGCTGTAAAATAGTTTTGATAGTTACACTTAGTTAACTTAGGTCATGTCGAAGCAAGCTAAACAACATGCTTAATCGCTATCTCATTAACGTTAGCTAGTTAACTTAGCAATAATTGCACGTTTGTTTCTAGTTCACAGGTTTCTTATAGGTGCAGCCTGCTAGCTCGCCAGCTGAATGTTCCAATTAATGACTACCAAAATGAATGGCTTTCGCAAGGCCCAGGATGTAAATGCATCAATTCACGTTATGTTGAAACTTAAAAGCGTTGAGCTGCTTACAATAATTCGGTGAACAGGAAAGGAATGTACTAGTTACCTAGCTTTATGGCCTAAGAGTTGCAGAAACAAACGTGGTTACAGTCATGCTTGCAGAATGCTATACACTTGCTTTGCATGTCGTAGGTTTGCTTATTATGGTAGTGGCCTACCTACAGAAAAACATTGGAAGTACATCATGTGACATTTGTCTCATCTCTCTCCCTTACTGGTTCCCCAAGCGACGAGCTGGCGCAGGTTGTGGGGTGCCCGTGGACCATGAGGGACAGTGGTAGCAGCCTAGCACAGAACCGCTGGCAGGGGCAGCTGGGCCAGGAGGACAGTGGGGATGGAGGAGGTGGTGGTGTAGCGATCTCCGGGGGTCACCTGGAGATCGACCCCACCGCCACCCACCGGATGCCCAGCCCCATGCACCTAAAGCTGGGCCAGAAGGAAAGGGTGGCCTGGGAGGCCGAGTACATGGAGGACGAGGGGGAAAATGATGAGGAAGATTTTGAAGGTGAGGGCTGGGATGATGATGAGGAAGGAGAGGAGGCTGAGGTTGTATGGGAGGTCCCACACATGGTCCCCACCCCATCCCTACAAGAGCAGAATCATCATCAAGCACCACTAGGCGACGATGACCATGACAACAACCAGGCCGAACCTGAAGAAAGGGACTTTCCCAGCGTCCCTATCCAGTCCAGGCTCAACGGGCTCAGGCAGCGCAGGCTGAGGCGCTGGAGGAAGCTCCACTCTCATGAAGGCCTACGGCTCCGTCTCACCCAGCATTGGCAGACCTGGCGTCAGCGGGCTCAGTGGGTGGGCACCCTGGGGCACAGGAGGGCGAGGAGGTGGCGTCGGTATAGTTTGTATTCCAACCGGCAGAGGACGGTAGCGGACCCGGGCCTGAGCAGCCCACTGTCAGATGACGAGAGGCTCAGTGGGTCTGAAAGAGGTGAGATGATCCCATGGATGGTGAAAGGTGTATCTGACAAACTGAACACTCAGTGTTCGAAAGGGCTGTTGATATGATCAAAACAATTGAGAGGGTACACTCAAGTCTCTATTTTTTGCTGGCAAGCAGAATTCTCTAATATACCCACTATTGGCAAAATTGGAACGCTCGTGTTGGCACTGGGCTGATATGTTTCAATGAATGTGACTGTATGCATCTCAACAGGTATCACCATTATATAAACTATACTATAATTATCTCATAATATTCACTTACTAAACCCTTGTCGTCCCTGCAGATAACGTGTTGAATGGTTACTCAGGAGACTACCAGTCCAGTCTGATGGGTGGTCTCAGGGAGAGTGGAAGAAGGGAATCAGAGGCCTCATCGTACGCCATCGTCAGAGAGAAACCTGTGGAGGTCGCTCTCACTGAGGAACACATGAGCTGTGTGCATGGTAAACTAAAACATTACATTTTTCTTAGGGGAAATTACCTTTTCTAGTTTAAATTATGTGATGTAATGAAGTAACTCAGGGATTTTCTGCTAATGAAATGGATGAGCGGGGGCCTCCTGAGTGGCGCAGCTGTTTAAGGCACTGCGCCACTTGGTGCGGCTGGCTTCCGGGTTAAGCGGGCGGGTGTTAAGAAGCGCGGTTTGGCGGGTCATGTTTCGGAGGACGCATGACTCGACCTTCACCTCCTGAGCCCGTTGGGGAGTTGCAGTGATGAGACATGATCGAAGTTGGGGAGAGAAGGGGGGGTAAAATACACACACAAAAAAATTAAAAATATATATATGAAATCATTGGACGGGCCGCCTAAGCGTATTTTCAGGTCGCGTAAGTCCAAACAAACAGTGTAAACTTAAACGACTAAAACCAGATATAAAGTATGTAGAAAAGATAATGGACCTATTTTTTTTATATATAATATAATCTTTGAAAAGTAACAATCACCAAAATTAAAGCTAGACGGGGAGAATTGAAAATGTATTTAGCAGTATAGATTTTGTTACTATGTTTGAGCAAAAGACCATAGCATTAGCCATGGCAAAATTGCAGAATTGCAGGAAATTGGCTTTAAAACGGCCACATTTTCTCTCCTCTCCATGGCAGACAATGTAGAATCGCAGGGAATTTGCTTTAAAACTGCTAAATTGTGTAGAATTGACCTCAATCAATCTAATGATGAACTTAGCCTTAAGATGCTTTTGGGAAACGGGGCCCAGTTCAAGTAAGAAATTAAGCTTGTTCTTTTCTCAAATCAATGTGCTGGGGTACGAGGTAGTTAAGGTAATATGTTCATGTTGGTATGGTTTAGCTTTACGCATCTGCTACCAACAGGATATGAATATAGGACTGACCTTGGCTGCTCAAGGTCACAGAATCCTCTACAGTCTGTGATTCCATATTACTCTCCCAACATTCTGTATTGTTTTCCCATCGTCTCAGGGATCCTGGATGAGTCCCTCCAGAAGTACGGCAGTCTGATCCCCATCCACGCTGACGATGTGGTGGAGAAACTAAAAGACATCTTCAACGACAACTTCTCACAGCCTCACAGGTCTGAGACGTGTGCACACACACACACCAATGTAGTGTACACGTTCTCACACACACACACACAGGCAGACATGCAAAAACGCACAGACATGCAAAGCAATCCATGCGCAGGTGCACATTCACACACAGTGTCCACACATACAGTACACGTACAAACACAGATGAAACATAATTTATTGTACTGTGCATGGACACATACACAGAGAGAGCGACAACCAACACAAATGAGAAACACAACATAGCCTAATATTTATACAATCTGATATCCCTGATGTCTGCCTAATGTGAGGTGCTTTTAAAATGTTGGCCATAAAAAGCCTGGTGCTCTTTGCCAAGGCCAGGTGGAATGTAAACCAAGTCCATTTGTCCTGGAGAGTAGTCACGCATTCCTTCTAGCTTCTACGCAGCGCTCTAATTTCAGACATAGAATTGGAATGATTCTAATTCTATGATTTTAGACCTCCAAATGAGTTATTTTTAACACTCCTAATCACGGTCGGATTGTGATACAGCTTGGAATTGAACCAGGGTCTGTAGTGACGCCTCTGAGATGCAGTGCCTTAGACCGCTGTGCCACTCGGGAGTCCATAAAATCTGCTGGAGTGAATTGGAACAAAGGGAAAGGGACCACCCACATGATGAAACCACCCACGTTATTAGAATCACCCAAGTTCTGAGTATGTTGATGGAAATGAGTCTTCGTGTTATAACAAGGCACAAATGTTACAAATTGAAGATCGTGATGTAAACAATCTGTGATGCAACCCCCTGTTCATCACCAGGGCTTGGGAACCAAACGGAAGAGGATTTTCCAATAAGAAACGCTTGTTTTCACTATGTTGTGGACTAATGAATATGACCCAGCTGTTGTCCAGTGTAATCCTTGACTGATACAGTTCCATCTCATATTTCCAAAAAAGACAAGGCGGTAAAATGCAGAAAAACTTTAGGACAAGTTTCATATTCCTCATCTCATGCTTCCATTTCCAACAGGAAAGTAGTGGTTCAACACCTAATCCAGTCCTACCAGAGGTCGTCCGGCACGGCCATGGTGCGAGGGTTCCGTGTCAACTACAAGCGTCATGTCCTCACCATGGATGACCTAAGCACGTTGTATGGACAGAACTGGCTCAATGACCAGGTGGGTGGGACCCTGTACTAAACACTTTTGTAGCATGCCAAATTAACGTCTATGTAAACGTGTATTGTTATGGGCTTGTGATGTTGCAATTGTACATTCTTATATAATATGCCATTTAGCAGACGCTTTTATCCAAAGCGACTTAGTCATGTGTGCATACATTTTTACGTATGGGTGGTCCCGGGGATCGAACCCACTACCCTGGCGTTACAAGCGCCATGCTCTACCAATTGAGCTACAGAGGACCATGTATATACCATGTCAGCCTTTTTTACTCTGTTCATATGACTCACCTCACTCATACAGGCGAAGTGTATTCTAAAAATTACCAAAATGATTTTCAATCAGCACTTTCAGAGAGCGATGAACTAAAGTGGTACCAACTGATAAAAAAAACCTGAAAGTAAAAAAACTGTGCACCGGCTGCCTTTTTAAATGCGCTTTTGGGACAGAACCGTATGTACAGTTTTATCCAAGCAATATCGAAGCTCTTTTGCTACATTTCGATGTGGAGTGGCCCTTCGCGCTATTGAGACTGATCGATACACTCCCTTAGATAAACGTGTCTGTACTTTTTGTAATGATGGATCCATTGAAACAGAAGCCCATACCTTGCTTTACTGTGGGTTATACAACGCCATTAGGTCTTCTTCGTCAGCTTTCCAGACATTGATAATGTTAGCGGTCTAGATTAAAATAATACATTTTGTAAAATTCTATCAGGTAACTAAGTATTGACACCCCTTGACTTTTTCCACATTTTGTTGTGTTACTGCCTGAATACATTATTTATTACATTTTGATTTTTTGGTCACTGGCCTACACACAATACCCCATAAGTGGAATTATGTTTTTAGATTTTAAAAAAATTATCAAATTACTATGAAATGAAAAGCTGAAATGTCTTGAGTCAAGAAGTATTCAACCTATTTGTTATGGCAAGCCTAAATAAGTTTTGGATTAAAAATGTGCTTAACTCGCATAATAAGTTGCATGGACTCACTCTGTGTGCAATAATAGTGTTTAACATGATTTTGTAATGACTACCTCATCTCTGTACCCCACACATACAATTATTTGTAATGTCCCTCAGTTGAACAGTGAATTTCAAACACAGATTCAACCACAAAAACCAGGGAATGTTTCCAATCCCTCGCATAGAAGGGCACCTATTTGGTAAATATTTAAAAAGCAGACATTGAATATCCCTTTGAGCATGGTGAAGTTATTAATTACATGTTGGATGGTGTATTAATACACCCAGTCACTACAAAGAGACAGACGTCCTTCCTAACTGTTGCCGGAGAGGAAGGAAGTAGATAGATTACAAAAAATTACAATTAAATCAATTTTAATCCCACTTTGTAACAACAGAATGTGGAAAAGTGGAGGTGTGATACTTTCTGAAGGCACTGTAAAATGCCTGTGCCAAAGCCTGCCACCTTATCCTCCAATGAAGGTGTTTCTTTATAAGTGCCTAATTATCCTTTAGTCTACTTTACTCCATTTTTTGTTTATGCCTACATGTGTAGAGATTATGTAATGTATTATAAGGAAATACTGTACCATGTTTGACAATTTTTTTAAATCTGTATTTTGTATAATCAATTATTGTATAATTTTTCTAACACTACAAAGCATTATAAGGCCACAAATAAAAATAAAATTGTATTTGTCACATGCGCCGAATACAACAGGTGTAGACCTTACAGTGAAATGCTTACTTACAAGCCCTTAACCAACAATGCAGTTTAAGAAAAATAAGTGTTAAGTAAAAAATAATTAAAGAGCAGCAGCAAAATAACAGAGGCTATATACAGGGGCTACCGGTACAGAGTCAATGTGCGGGGGCACAGGTTAGTCGAGGTAATTGAGGTAATCTGTACATGTAGGTAGAGTTAAAGTGACTATGCATAGATAATAAACAGAGAGTAGCAGCAACGTAAAAGAGGGAGTGGGGGCAATGCAAATAGTCCGGGTAGCCATTTGATTAGCTGTTCAGGAGTCGCATACATGCTTATAACAAGTAATAACACACAACTGTATGCCCCAAGGTGGGACCCTGTGCTAAACACTACGGCCCGGATTCTAACTTGATATTTGCTCATGTAACCTGAATTTCTGCATACATTTTGCATACTATGCATTGAAATCATTGCATGACTTATGCAAAATTGTATTTGTGTGTATGTCTAGTTAGGATTGGGCACTGTATGCAAATATCTGTTACTTTTGAACAGATTAAAAGCAAGGCATTGTGTTTATTCAATGTCTCTTCTTCTTTAGGTCATGAACATGTATGGTGACCTTGTGATGGACTCTGTGCCCGAGAAGGTAGGAACAATTTAAAATGTATAATACAACATACTTCCATGATGTACTACTTCAACAAAATCCATAATATTTCCCCTGAACACAGTATATTCAATGAAGGAGAATATCTGTAGCATCTGACATCTTTCTCCTTCTCTCCCAGGTTCACTTCTTCAACAGTTTCTTCTACGATAAGTTGAGGACGAAAGGCTACGATGGAGTCAAACGATGGACGAAGAATGTAAGGAACCATAAAGATTACATTTTTACATTTACGTCATTTAGCAGACGCTCTTATCCAGAGCGACTTACAAATAGGTGCATTCACCTTATAGCCAGTGGGATAACCACTTTACAATGTTTTTTTTTTTTTTTTGGGGGGGGGGGGGGGGGGTAGAAGGATTACTTTATCCAGATATTCGTTATCTCATCGTTTTTTTTGTTACGTTGTCCTCAATATACCTGCTTTGCATTATCCTTTCTCAAAAAAGCAATCTATCAAATGTTGTCAGTATATTGCATTGTAACTAAATATGCAACAAATTGTGAACCAATTGACATTTGTGCACCTGTCACAAATACATTGAGGGGACAAATCTGTTACGCTTACTGTTAAGTGCAAAGAGACCCGGGCCTTAACCCACCAACGCCTGAACATGTTCCTACCTCTTCCCTCCCAGGTGGACATCTTCAAGAAGGATCTCCTCCTGATCCCCATCCACCTGGAGGTCCACTGGTCCCTGGTCAGCGTGGACATCCCCCGTAGGGCCATCACCTACTTCGACTCCCAACGCACACTCAACCGACGCTGCCCAAAGGTGAGACGGCCATGTTTCAAATGCATATTTAACTCGGAAGTCCAGTTGCGGTCAGAATACCTCTTTCCCAAGTGAGACCTGACCATAGCTTGCATAGAGAGAAACGTTGCTTTCTAAAATCTGAGTGAACGTACTCTTTTGTGCCATACCTTTTTTCTTGTCTAACATGGATTTAGGATTTAGTGGCACCTCGATTTCTATTTGTTACAGCACCTGTTTGTTTCACCTCATTCAGAATGGTCTGTTTGGGTGTTAATTTGGTCGTCTTTGAAATTATGCTAAATTCATGCTTCTTCTGTTTACCACCTCCTCAGCATATTGCAAAGTATCTGCAGGCAGAGGCTGTCAAGAAAGAACAGAGAGATTTCCTTCCAGGATGGAAAGGCTATTTCAAAATGGTGAGTCGGTTTGACTTCAGTTCTCATTTCTGACATAGTGTAATAACAATTGCTTTACATGAAGGAACAACATATTTTGTTTGTTTGACATTGGTGGGGTTATATTCTGAGTGTATTTACTGTTTTGTGTGTTTCAGAATGTGGGCCGCCAGAACAATGACAGTGACTGTGGGGCGTTCGTTCTTCAGGTAGGTCCAAGTCCTCATTATAATCCTAGATGGTCATACTTACATTTTAGTAATTTAGCAGACGCTCTTATCCAGAGCGACTTACAGTTAGTGAGTGCATACATTTTTCATACTTCTATCGAGAGCCATGATCCATAGCTGTCCTTGTACTACAAACTTGTGTGCTGAATTCCAAAACAAGCCCTAGCCCCTACTCCAAGACCTAGACACTCGTTTAGATTTAGGATTGGATAGTTTTAATATTGTAACTGCTTAACATTGCCCTCTGAATGGCAAGGTAGAACAATTTGGTGCTAGAGGGCCTGGATGTTGCTTTGGGGGCCTTTGTGTCCTACACTAGGGGGAAGCCTGATTTCTAACCCATCTCTGTCCGTGTTCCTTCCAGTACTGCAAGACTCTAGCCTTGGGTCAGCCGTTCAGCTTCGGCCAGCAGGACATGCCCAAACTGAGGAGGCTCATGTACAAAGAACTGTGTCACTGCAAGCTCTCGCTGTGACGCCACGCCCTTTGAGGATTCTTAACAAAGAAGTGGGGGATTCTAAGGAGGAAGCGAGGGATGGTTCAAATGAACTATTCTAAACGAGCTAGTGACTGAAAGAAAGGAAACAAACTTTTCAAAGGAAAAAAAAAAATCCCCTTGACGACGTTGATATCCAGAGACTTTACTACTACTACAAGAGGGCATTTTATATTTTCGGCCCCTGTTTTCTGCCCTCTCTTTCTGTTTTTCTCCTCTCTCCCATGACCTTTTATTTCATTTTCATGGTTGTTTCCTTGTGATTGACAGAGGCAATGTCTATGATTGTATCCCAAATGGCACACTATTTCCATATGTAGTGCACTACTTTTGATCATGGACCCTGGACAAATGCAGTAGACTATATAGGTAATAAGGTTCCATTTGGATGCAAACCAAGTCTACTATACTCTGATGGTGCATTTGAATAAAAATACACTTTATTTAGACTTTTCTCTTTCTCTAAACTGACTTATCACCTTGCCGATGCAGGAGCCCCCCAAATGGACAAGTGTGGAGTGAAAAGAAGTGGTAGTTCTATCTTTACTTATGTTCTTTTTTTCTCTCTTTGTCAGTTTAAAAAAACGTGTTGCTATGCTTATTGTTCATGGGTGTTTTTTGGAGGGCAGTGATGTTTTTTTATTTTGATTAAAATAAAAACAATATCTTACTAAGTCATGTTGGAGTCATATTGGTTGGACCATGTCAGCTACAAACAAATTGGTTCCCAAATGGCACGCTATGCCGTTTATAGTACACTACTTTGACCATAAGGCTCTGATCAAAAGTAGTGGACTATATAGGGAATGGGGTGCCATTTGGGACGTATTTGTGGTATTACATTTCCCCCTCTTTTTGTAACTAAAAGAGACATTGTTGATCTGTTTTGTTTTTATATTCTTTTTTGAGCAGAAGTTTGATGGAACATAATTGATTGTTTTTATACCTTTTAAAAAGCATTTATGGTTAATCAGAATAAACAACTACATGACAAGGAACAGATAAATGAAAGTTGAATTTCTTCATGCTTTGTATAATGTATTTACTAGCTAGTGTGAATTGACATTGAATCGAGGAAGAGGATGATTTATCTCTGTTGTAGTACTGTAGTGTGACGTCTAGATGTTCTGGATTGTGTGTGGGTATATTTGTCTGTCTGGGTGATCCTATCTTCAACAATAGGCAGTATTAAGAAAAAAATAAGCTATTCATGCATACCTAAATTACAGATATATTTCGAGATTTTGCAGGACCAATTTAATAGTAGCAAATGTTTGCTTCCTGCTGCTAGTGCCCAAGTGCTAGCTTATACTGTAGTAGTTACCCATGAATGTGGAAGGTAGAATGTTCACATTGACTTCTATAGTTCCAGTCATTCTAATTAATTATGATTCTAACGCAGTAGTGTGGTAAGTGTTCTTTTTGAACCAATAGTAGAGGTTACGGTAGAGTGGAGGTTGTCCATCACATCTCTATTTTATGGCGAACGTTACCAAAGCAGACAACGTTAGTTATCAGTAGATACGTTTTATCTCCATGACTAAAAATAGAGGGTAGTCTAGGTAGATGATGCTGTAAATGACTCATGTTCTCCCAAAAAAGTTCAGGGTACAAGTACAACACGATTTGTTGTTCATTTCAACACAGTAGACGTGATCTAATTATTACTGTAATTTGCGAAATGACAATGTAGTGACGTATAGACTTGGGCAGGGGATGGCTCTGGTCATAATGTGGTGTTACATGAACTGTTCCTGGATAGGTTTTAGAATTCTCATTTTAGAATGGTTATGTTTTTAATAGGATCGTAAACGCTGATCTAAGATCAGTGTTCGAGCGCGCTCAACGTTGCAAAGGAAATACCCAATGAAAACTGACTTCAAGCCTGCTTTTGCCCAATAGTTACATGCGATGGGAGGGTTATGTATTATATCCCGCCTACTCAAGTGCAAATAAACGCTATTATGCTGTCAATCACTTTGTTAATGACGTATGAGTTAGCCAATGACATGCCATGACGGGTGGAGTCAGAGTTGATTGATAGGGCGCTGCTGCAATGAAATCGCTAGTTTGCTCATCACGTTGACGTATATATAAGGTCTCTGCCACATTCTCTTCCTTTGTGATAATGTCGGCTGAATATGAAGACAGGTACAGTAAGGAAAGCACATTGTTAGAAATGTATTGTGTAATATTGATGAAATTGTAATTAGAAAAATATGTATTATCGTAACGCATAGTATATCAACATTTATGCGATGTTTGAAGCGATAATGTTGAACATATTTGTCTCGTTAAATAGCTGGCTAGCCCGTATGCTAACGTTAACTTAGCCAATGTAAAGGTCCCTCAATTCGGCCTTTTTAGATAACGAGTTACTCGTAATATATAACCAACATCATTTTATATTCGGTTGTAAAAGCGTACGAATTAAATGTATTTTTATGTTTGGAAAGCCGCTGCCAGAACGTGAACCTAATTTGTATTAGGAGATACTGCAGTGCCGGCTTCTCGGCAAGCACGTGAGTGGCGAACTTGACTTGAGGCTGGTCTAACGTTAGGCCTTTCCGGTATACGCGTACCTGGTGTGGCTATTCAGTGTTATCTGATTTTGATAAGCCTCACTTTTGAAAATACGTCGGTATATTAATCCAAATATCTTGGTAAGGTCAACATGGTATCGTTAGTCAGCTAGGTACAGCTGGATGTCTCGAACGAAGTGCTTGGGGGAAATGTCACGCACATGGTCGCAGTTACCGGCGTGACAATTGCAGGCCTGATGATGATTATTTTACAATTGCCAGTTTTGTCTGACCTATTTATCAAATCCGAAGCGGATAGTTAGTGTATAAAAAAATGGTCGAGATGTGTTTACTTAATATTGATCAAGTTGACAATTCACGAGGGCTCGACATTGGGCCTAGTTGGCTATCTAGCAAGCTAATGCTTGACACGTAGATGATTACCAGCCCCTGTAAATCAGCAAAAAATATTTTCAAAGGGCTTACTTTAAATTGGAATATAACGTTAAGTCAGTTTTTTTTTACATCTAGCAATGTAATTTCAGAGTTCTGACACGTATTTTGCATGTTCAATCGTCGTTTACGCATTCCGCTAGCCAGCACTGGTATTCGGGCCGTGGGAAACGACCATCTTGAAATGTCTGAAAAAGAAATGGCCGCCTTTCTACCATGGGGCGTTTTTCTGGGAAAATGCCGCCCGCCCTCGACGTGTACTATACAATCTCCATTGTGCAATAATGCTTTTTAGTAATACTTACAGAACTTAGTTAGGAAACGGTTAACTTCCTTATTTTAATCACTTTCTAGTAGAAGTTTCACGTCTCCACCAGAAACAATTTCTCACTTGAACAGCCCCGCTTGTCCAGTGTAGCCTATAAGTAACCATATTTCTCTTCCTTACAAGCTTAAACACGTCAGCTTTACATTGTAAAATGTACATTGTTTAGTATGGCTGTACTGTTATCCCTCGGGGAATTAGCTGATAATGACTTCTGTCATATTTGATTTTTCAGACTTCCCAGAGATAATGGCCCAGAGGGCATGGAGCCAGATGGTATCATTGAGGTGAGTAATGCTTCAGTGTTACATCTGCTAAATTGGATGCAGAAGACAAGATATTCAAGAGCTCAAGTTACAGCTTGATAATGTGTGATCTCTGCTTAATTGAATGCTAAAACGGTAGATATTCAGTAGATAGTAAAGTTTCAAGTCACACTGGATAAGTGTTTGCTAAATTACTCAAATATAAATGCTTATCTTCTACTTTCTACAGAGCAACTGGAATGAGATCGTGGACAGTTTTGATGAGATGAACCTGGGCGAGAAGCTGCTCAGGGGAATCTATGCCTATGGTTTTGAAAAACCCTCCGCTATCCAGCAGAGGGCCATCCTCCCTTGTATCAAGGGTGAGTACTCAACCACACTCACTCTTCAGATGGTTAGGCATAATGGTCAAATTGTTTATCTTATAAACCGTATGAGATCATTCAACAAACTCTTAGGAAAGCATGAGCAGTGACAGTACAGCATGATAACTGCAGTGACTAAAATAAACATTGTCAGCTTGAAAAGACTACTAACGTTCACTTAAGCCAAAGGAACTAAAACTGCTGAAGTCACAACTTCTGCTTGACTTCAATCCCCTTGTCAACTGGGCAAGGCAGTGTCTTCTAATGGCACTGAGTCTTATATCTGCCAAGGGAAGAGTGAATGAGTCCATATTCATCCCAGTCATCTCTGTTCAGTGAGGAATAGGCTGGTTCATGCTATGGACACAAATGAAACTAACGAATGTAGTGCATTTTGACTTTAATTTACTGACCAACTGAAAACAAACTGGTAGTGGGTGGATAATATTTAGTTTGGTATGTATGCTTGTTAGCTGACGTTCTAGTAAAAAAGCATGCGTTCAAGCACACCCAAAATAGTTGCGGTGCTTACTAACAATATAGTAAATGTAATGGGGGGGTAAAGATGTGCCACTATTATTAATTTTTAATAAAGAGCTGACATTGGCTTTATCTCCCATCCTACCTGCCCGCAGGTTATGATGTGATTGCACAGGCTCAGTCTGGTACTGGGAAGACTGCCACCTTTGCCATTTCCATCCTGCAGCAGATCGACATGGAGCTGAAGGGCACCCAGGCCCTGGTTCTGGCCCCCACCAGAGAGCTGGCTCAGCAGGTACGTACGGGCGGGTACTTCAGTTACTTGACAGAAATGTAACTAGAATACACCATAAGTCATGTCACACCGTTCTAAACTTGTAGCCTCTTGTGTATGTTAACCTCATGTCCCCTGTCAACTGGGCAAGGCGGTGTTCTCTAATGGCACTGAATCTTATATCTGGCAGGGGAAGAGTGAATGAGTCCATATTCATCCCAGTCAACTCTGCTCAGTGAGGAATAGGCTGGTTCATGCTATGGGCACAGATCTATAAAACTTGTTGTTTACGACAGTTTGTATGACAGGAAATAGTGGCCAAACCTGAGGTTTACAAGTCAACCGGGCCAACGATTTTTCCTGTAATGGGCTACACATGCTTCACAATACTGATGCCAGATGAATCTGGAATAAAATATTGTCACTAAAACTGACTTTCCTTCAAACCAAAACCACCTCAGTTATTCTAGTCGCACCTCTGACACAAACCTCTCCGATCAGGTGTCAAAACAATACCCCTTTACCTAATACACATTTCTCTCCTTCCCTGTCAATAGATCCAGAAGGTGATCCTGGCCCTAGGTGACTACATGGGAGCCTCCTGCCATGCCTGTATAGGAGGGACAAACGTCCGTAACGAGGTCACCAAGCTCCAGGCTGAGGCCCCTCACATAGTGGTGGGGACCCCTGGCCGCGTGTTCGACATGTTGAACCGCAAATACCTGGGTAAGCGCCTCTCTAGTGGTTGACCAATTGTTTAATTGACGATCGATGGTTGAAGTTGCGCTTGGAGTGAGGCCTTTCAATATTTAATTTAGCGTATGCGAGCTTGTACATTTTGAGTTGGTGTTTATATTGAGTGACAGGGTAGGGTTATAGAGCTGTATAATGATTAAATCCATGCGTGTCAACTGACTCTGGAACCCCCTGAGTGTTCTAGTTCTGCCAGTCAGCGTTCTGTTGGCTGGTGTGTTCTAAACCTCAGGGCTCTGGAACTCATGATCAGATTCCACACTGGCTGAATACAGCATTCAATGACTCAGCACTTGTTTTTGTCAAATAGCAGGAAAAGTGTTGAAGGTTCATGGGGCGTTCCCCACCCCTTTCATCCCTCTTAACATGACTAGTGGTGATATTACCAGTACAGAAGTAATTAATATTTGTAGATGTGTGTTTTAATTGGTTCTAATTGTATCCCTACACCTTCCCTCCATCCAGCCTCTAAGAACATCAAGATGTTTGTGCTGGATGAGGCAGATGAGATGTTGAGTCGAGGTTTCAAGGACCAGATCTACGAGATCTTCCAGAAGCTCCCCACCAGCACACAGGTACGTCAATCTGAGTAGTACCAACTTTAGCTAGACATATTTGACAGGTGTATCTGATGGGGTTGACGTTCACTAGAAACATTGTCATGGTTCATTGCTAAAGGGAAGTATGGACTTGATGCAGTGGTGCTACACTGAAAATGTTCACACACTCCCTATACTATGGGGCCAGAGATAACTCTCCTCCCAGCTTGTGTGCTGTGTCAGGAATGAAGGTCTTTGGTAGAGAATCTAGAATCTGCTCTCCACAGTGACTGGGCTCTCAGTCCCTCTTCACGACTTAATAGCAGTTTACAATTTATACAACCAGTTATCACAGTCACTCGTTTTGAGTTAAGCATTGCCTCTTCCCTGAGGTTAAACTGTAGACTGTTCAGGGGAATGTTGATTGACTTCAACATGCCTAACAACCTGCACCCTATTCCCTCTGTAGTGTACTCATTTTAGTTACTATATAGGGAATTGGGTGCCACCAAGTATTAGCTAGTATGGACATAAGAGATTTAATATCTATATCATTAATTACAACTATTGCCTTTAACCCCGCCAGGTGGTGCTGCTGTCTGCCACCATGCCCCAGGATGTCCTGGAGGTCACCAAGAAGTTCATGCGTGAGCCCATCCGCATCCTGGTCAAGAAGGAGGAGCTCACCCTGGAGGGTATCCGCCAGTTCTACATCAATGTTGAGAAAGAGGTGAGGTTGCCCTTAGGCACAGATCTAGGATCAGTTAAAGGTGGGGTTGGGGAGTTGTATGTAGAAGTAGCCCTTAGGAGAGTTTAGAATAGGCTTAACTTTGATTGTACCTACAGTCAGTATTGGTTCTCATTTTTAAAGATGGGTTTTTACAGGGCAAACTCATCTTTTCAGACAGCTGTCATGTGTACACTTGGTTCAACTTAATTGAAAGAAACTCTGTACCCTTTACTGAGCCAAGGGTACAAAAGCCCCACTAAGTAGAAACATGACATCTTAGCTCATCACAGAACCATTGGAATGGTGTAAACCCCCCGCTGTAAACATTTAAACTATTTTTTTTTTTGTTGCCAGTATGAGCATGGCTGTCTTATGAAACTTGTGCGTGTCAACTGATCCCAGAATCCCCTGGGGCTCCCGGTGGCCTGGGTTGGTGTTCTGTCAGCTGGTTGTTCCTGGGCCTCAGGGCTCTGGGGGCATAATCTGACTGTCACCCTGAAAACACACCCCTCTATTAGACAAATACCCTACAGTGGTTATTGGCTCTTGGGCATTAGTTTTGACTACGTATAACTTCTCATGAGACTTGTAATATATTATAGGATAAGTTGTTGACCTGCAGGACTAAGGTAGAGGAAAGTTGAGAACTTTGGGAAGAGGGTGTCATTCACTCACGATGACCCAGCACAAGTCTACCTAACACTATATTGTGCAAGAATAAGTGTTTGCAGAACTGGTGCATCGATGCTATATTCCATTGCTTTGTCATCCCCTGACCTGTTCCTTAATGTCTCACCTGTTAGGAGTGGAAGCTGGACACCCTGTGTGATCTTTATGAGACACTGACCATTACCCAGGCTGTGATCTTCATCAACACCAGGAGGAAGGTGGACTGGCTCACTGAGAAGATGCACGCCAGGGACTTCACAGTCTCTGCTCTGGTGAGAGATGATAACCCTGAATTTAAAGTTACATTCTCAAGCTATGTCTGTAGCCTAAAACTGCTCTGGGTAAGAGGCTAACAAGGCTATAAAAAAAGAAGTTAGGAATCATTGCTTGTATAAATGCTTCTGTTGAAGTAAACTGAACTCGGGGCTTCAGCCATGGCCTGAGAATTTAACTAGTCTGTCGCTGTTCTTACTAGACTTGGTGGCGAGTCGAGGTTGACTGAAGCTATATCTGCGAATTTTTTTTATTTTTTTTTGTAAGACTCCCTAGGGCTTTGATTGCCATGTTCGGGGTCACAATTCTAAGAATACTGACCTTACAACTCTGCTCTGATTTCATTAGCACAGCTATGTCAATGTGGGTCTGTCCCATTAGAAATGGAATAACTCATTTATTTCTATGCTCTGCCCTCATCTCCCCTGTCAACTGGGCAAGGCGGTGTCCTCTAATGGCACTGAGTCTTATATCTGTCAGGGGAAGAGTGAATGAGTCCATATTCATCCCAGTCATCTCTGTTCAGTGAGGAATAGGCTGGTTCATGCTATGGGCACAGATGTATACAGCTTAGTATTTGCACATTGTGTATTATTTTGATGCAAAACCTCAAGTCTAACTCCTGTAGTTAGACCTCTATCTACCTCATAAGTCTTTTCTTCCAGCAATCAAATGGTTATGGCTTACTATTCACCCTAATAACTTGTTTGTCTATAAATTCCATTTTACTTTTAGATTTGTTTGTTAAATATGACTGCACTGTTGTAGCAAGGAACCCTAGCAAGAACATTGCTAAACATGTGTATGCGACCAATAAGATTTGTATCTGTAGCTCATGTCTATTCTCTTCCAGCATGGAGACATGGACCAGAAGGAGAGAGACCTGATCATGAGGGAGTTCCGTTCAGGCTCCAGTAGAGTTCTTATCACCACTGACCTGCTGGTAAGTCACGTCCTGTCATGCTCTAATGGTTCCCCACCCCACTTCCTGTTAATTCAGGGCCAGAGATAACTCTCCTTCCAGCTTGTGTGCTGTGTCAGGAATGAAGGTCTTTGGTAGAGAATCTAGAATCTGCTCTCCACAGTGACTGGGCTCTCAGTCCCAACTCACGACTTATTAGCAGTTTACAACCTTTCGCTGATGTAATTTTTTATTTTCTTGCTGTTGACTGAAGCAAAGTAACTAAAGTATTGCACAATATGGTGTTAATAGGTGTATTGCACAATACATTGTTCCACTGTTACCACACCCTCTAGTCTAGATGGCATCATGGTATTGCTCAGGAGTTAAACTAGTTGGCATGATCCTCAATTTCCATGGAAAAGTCTGGCTTCCTCCAATGTCTAAAGTACAGTCCTCTTTTACGGTGCCTGGTTTTCAACCTTTATACATTTGTACTGTATGACATGACTGTTCTCTCATTGGCCTCCTGGCCCTAGTTTTACTATGACTGTCCTCTGTGTCCCAAATGGCATCTTATGCAATCAGTCTTTGTCTTTAACTGTCTGGTTGCCTTAACCTTAATTTGACTGACTGTCCCCTGTCTCTCTCCTTGTCTCCCAGGCCAGAGGTATTGATGTCCAGCAGGTGTCCCTGGTGATCAACTATGACCTGCCCACCAACAGGGAGAACTACATCCACAGGTGAGACTTATACTACAGCTCTCAGCATGCAGCATTAGAATTGGGAACGTTATTGTCCACAATGTGGAATTTTTTGACTTCACGGGTGGTTGACATAAAAGCAAACGACATTGATACCAGGTCACCCGTGTGTTTGACATGCTCAACTATAGCTGTGTAATGATGAAATCCATGCGTGTCAACTGACTCTGGAACCCCCTGAGTGTTGTAGTTCTGCCAGTCAGCGTTCTGTTGGCTGGTGTGTTCTAAACCTCAGGGCTCTGGAACTCATGATCAGATTCCACACTGGCTGAATACAGCGTCATGTAGTTTGATACTAGTTGGTTGAAATTGCAAATCCTTTCAGTGTTCAGTGAGGTTCATTCAGTGGGTACAAAATATTTTAAGTACTAAATCGGGGGGGGACAAATGGGTAAATGTTTGATCAATCGTTACGTAATGGTATGAATGTATAGCTCTTTTCCAGTAGCTCAATGCACTTAACATGTAATGAAGGGGCATATCTACCTGCAACAGTCACAATTCAACTACATGTCACCCTAAAGAGATGGAACTAAATATCCAACCTAACTTCTGCTTCTCTCCTCTGTCAGGATTGGTCGAGGGGGTCGTTTCGGTCGTAAGGGCGTTGCCATCAACATGGTGACTGAGGAGGACAAGCGTACGCTGCGGGACATCGAGACGTTCTACAACACCACCGTCGAGGAGATGCCCATGAACGTGGCTGACCTCATCTAGTTTCCACATTCTAGAGGATTCCGTTCTGCCCCAGATCCCGCCCCCTTCCATCTCCGTCCCAAACCTTCTCTCCCCCCTCTACAACACTCGGCTTCAACAAAATCCAGAACAAACGTTCCCCTGTCCCTTCAAACAAGGATCACTCAGATCCCTGGTCCCTGCCGTTTACCACCTTTACCTGGTATCCGATAGGATCCTTCTAGATCCCTCCCCCTCTTGACCTGTGATCCGATCCTGTTTCACCATGATTCCGGTCCTTGACCTAGTGGTATTCTAACCCAATACAAATAATTGTACTCTTAACTGGGGGGGTCCTGTCTTGTCATGGCCCATTACTTTTGAGTCTGTGGTTAAGCTTGTTTGAGTCCTACCTAACCCCACCCACACCTTGTCTTTCCAAAGTCTAAAATGTCTTCTGTTTTGGTGGGTTGGTTCATTGTTGGTTTTCAAACTCAACTCCCTGACATGATGGGACAATCGCGCTACTCAGACTGAAGTTTAGAACTGATTATGGTCGTTATTAAAGATTACCCCATATAGTTGGATAGAGGCCACATCATTCATCTTTACCACAATGGCTTCTGTGCCCCCTCTATTCAACTCTATGGCCTACCCTGACCTGACTATCCAAGTTCTGGTTATGATATCCACTCTACCCCCAAATGATGCAATTTAGTGGCATTTGTGTATGTGGGGGAAAGTGACATGCTTTTATGCTGACTATGGCTGTCTGATTGCACCATATACCCTATATAGTGCACTGTAAGCAATAGGGTGCCATTTTGGATGCACCCTCCTTACTATTGTGAAGTGTATCATTGATCTACAGTCAGTGGGTGTTGCTAATTCTTCAGTAAGTGTGCAACAGTAAAACTATACTATGGACCTTTTGGGCTTGGAGATGTGTTATTACATTACCATTTGCCAGAATAGTGCTTCTAAAAAGACTACAATGTATCAACTGAAATTGGTATCCAACCCTATTCTCTCGGTGGTTAAGGGGCTTCAAAGAATTAAAAAATTGTATAGAAAAAGAAAAAAAACAAGCAATCATGAATGAGTATGAAATGTTTTCCCCCTTGATCTTGATGTCTGAGCTCTCTGCTGTGTGATTCTCTTGTTTATATTTCTGCTTTATCCTGTATAGTCCCAAGTTGTGAGGTAGCATTTTATTATTTTGGTTTGAGACCTGCTCATTATTGGTGGGGTGCAGGGAAACTGACCGCACACGGCTGAATAGGATATGGAGGGAGATTACAATCCATACCCTGTTTCAAGCTGTCACAAGAACCCTGCTGTGGGGATTTGAAAGGCTAGGTATGTTTTGTTCTTTCCAGAAATATCTGATTTAGAAAAGGTGGTGTCACTTTTGTAACCTACCTCACCAAACTGTTGGAGTGGTCTTTACACATAGGACCAAACTACAAATGATTGCGTATATATAGAGATTACTATTATAACAATGTCTTTTTTCAGTTTAAAAAAATTGACTCATTGGGTGGGAGGGGTGGGTTGAAAGGGATGTGGGGATTTATTGATTGGTCAGTGCTATTTTTAAAATGTGATTATGAAATTTGTTAACCTTTTTTTGAGACGGAGGCCGTGTATTAACTTTTCTACATTGGGTTCTGTATAGTATTTATTTTAATGGTCTTAAATAAAATAAAGGTATTTCTCCTTTTTAACAAGTTAACCATGGTTGAAGTTGCATTCATGTAATCTACTTTCGCGCGTTGAGGTCCAGAAGTCATATACCAAAGAGCCTAGTATTTGTTTGATAAATCTTAAGGGGAAATCAAGTTGTACTCCTGAAGAGTGGTGATGGTGGGTTACAATGTGCATTCATATCTATGTTCACACATTTTAGGGTAAACTTAGTATTTGACTTAAAGGGATACTTTGGGCAATGAGGCCCTTGATCAACTTTCCCAGAGTCAGATTACCTAGTGGTTATAATTTTATGTCTGTACATTATGTAGGAAGTTGCCAGTAGTTTTAAAGACCCAGTGCTAACACTAATTAGCACTGGCTCACAAAACTACAGCCAACTTCCTTCATACTGGAAAGATAAATGTATCCCTTTACATCTTTATTGATAGTCCTTTCGAAGAGTGACGGTGGGTTACAAAAACTGGTACTGTTTGCCACCTTAAGTTACCATGTTGGTTCAAGTGCATTCATATCCACTTTCACATTGGGGCAGTTGTCCATACATCTTCAGTAAACCTATGAAAGTAAGTCCTGAAGAATGTTATTAGTCCATGCGAGATGGAAATTTGTCTTCTGCTTTTATCCAAGCCCCCTGATGTATGCACGCACATTAGGTTGGAGAGGCTGGCGCCAAATGAGCAATTTTATAGGGGGTTAATTAAGTTCCTTGCTCAACGGAATACCAGTTTTTGGTGGGTTACAAAATTGTGTACTGTTTAAAATCACCAGGGGGCAACAAGTATAAACCAAGACAGGTTGCCTAACTTTTAAACTACAATTTTACATTTTAGTCATTTAGCAGATGCTCTTATCCAGAGCGACTTACAATTAGTGAGTGCATACATTTTTCCATACTGGCCTCCCGTGGGAAACGAACCCACAACCCTGGTACTGTAATGGTATCACTGGTGTCTTGTGACTAGGCTACTATCCTGATCCTCCCATCAGGAAGATCGAACAAGGCTAACTAAAAGATGGCACCTTCAAGTAAGTAGGTATTTTTCAAGTGGCTCTAGTCTAGTGATTAGACCTAAACAGATATTAACAACATAAAGCATTCACTTTTGCTACATTTCCATGACACCTGCATGCTACTGAAACTTGCCCATGATTCCTTGGTACTACTAGACCTATTATCTTGAAGCAATTGGGCTCCCTGTGAAAACAACCTCAGTAACAGTTACACATCTTTAAGTAATTTCCCTGTGATACATGCATGGCACTGTCATAGTTGGGTTGATTTGTTGCAAGTGTTGCTGGTGAAAATACATAGTAACAGATTGACATATTATTAGGCATCATTAACTTTGTCTAGGCTACTTACTACATTTCCTGTCACAGTTGGCCAGTTCGTCGTATGGAAAATAAGTGCAGTGTAAAAAATAGTATCAGAAATCAAACCTTAAAAGACAAAGATGGTTTTATCAGATTCATTGAGATATTTCAGTAGCTAATTTGCTCCAGGGGTACTGTACTACTATGGTTATGTACTACAACACATTTCACTGCAGCTCTGACAAACATTAAAAAAGAAAAGGAAAACAAAGCTATCATGTTGGCTCCTGACTCAAAGTCATTTGTTCACAGCCATGGAAAGTTATATTCCTAGGAAAGCTGTCCTATGTATGAAGTCAGAGTTTAGAGGTGTAGTTTTGCTTGATGACCACAAGATGTCGGTTTCTGATAGGAAACAAGTCCACTTCAGCAAAAGTTCATCAGAATGTGTCGCCCATCTCTAGCTACCCCAATAAACCATGTGTATGTGCTGCTGTGTCTGTGAGTGCTTCTTCTGGAGAGAGAATGACGGTGCATTCAGATACATTTTGATACTCACCAGCCATACTTAAATTCTCTCCTTGCCGTTTTGATTATTGGTATTTTGTATGTAAGCCTGTTGGTCAGTTAATCTACCAGCGTCTCTCTCAACGTCCCTAAATAACATAAATTATAGCAGCAGCTATTCAAGCCCAAAGGCATCTTTATTCAAGATTCCTCAACACACCAGGACACACACACCATTTCCCTCCATCTGTCCCCCAATGCACTCTCCCCCAACTTCCCAGCACTCCCCATTCACTCACTCCACCATAGACCTCTCTTTCCCCTTCCCAAACAAACAGGTCTGAGTGCTCCACTCCCCAACTCCCCTATACATTTACATTTGGCTGACACCTCATCACAACATGTTATGTTTCTGTATGTTATTATACGTGTTCACTCAGTCACAGTGTAGGTGGCCCAATGTCCAACCCGAACCACTTTCACTACTCTGGGTCTATCTGTCTGTAACCCCCAACTGCCACCTCTCTCTCCCCCCTGCTCGATTGTGGGGCAGAGGATTATGCGAGTGGGAGGCTCGTAAAGGGCCTGCCAAGGTCTTTCTGGGCTGTGACGGATGGCTGGGAGACTGAAGGCAATATTAGCATGAGAAGAGAAGAGGGAGAGCGAGAATAGAGGGCCATTCAATGGGCCTGTCAGAGATGACTGAGGAACAACCACCCTCCTTTCCATCCCTCCTTCCCTCCCTCCATGTCCTTCTCCACCAGCACCAAAAACCCACCACCCTTCTCTTCTTTTCTTCAGCCAGCTCCCTCTCTCCTCTGTCCTTTCTTTCTCATTTTCCTCCTTCACTCCTTCAACTCTCTCTCTCCCTCCATTCTTATTCTCTTATTTCTTTCTGTCGTGTTCTTTCTCTGCCCCTCTCTAATCTATCTTTCTTTCTTTTTTAACCCCATTTCTTAGTTGATTTCATCCCACTTAATTTCTGTTCGTTCTCATTTCCCGTCCTTTCCATCAAACCCAGTGTTATTGGGTGTGATTTCCATAGCATTTGATCCTCATTATTTGGTCTGGTGCAAATTAATTTGATAATAAAGCCTCAGATAGGGTTTAGATATACCCTGCCCTGAGTGGGACTCAATGGCTATGATGCCATGCTAAGCTTCTTAAATGCACATTGAGTGACTGACATCCACTTCGGTAAAGGGTGTCAGAGGAAAATGTAGTTTTATGAATAGAATTTTAACTATATTAATATAAATGAATCATAAAGAGAAATGTGACTTTCAATAATGAGATGGTCCATGGTATGATAATTTTAAAACAATTCCATATGTTAGTAGATATTGCCATCTATAGGCTTAGACTCTAGGGGGTTAATATAAATGAATCATCAAGAGAAATGTAACTTTCAAGAATGACATACAATGCCTTCAGAAAGAATACATACCTCTTGACTTATTCCACATTCTGTTGTGTTACAGCCTGAATTCAAAATTGATTTTTTTTAA